TCAGATTCCTGGTGGCATTCAAGGACTATATTTTATTATCAATTTTCAATAGCAAACATAGCAGCACCGCACAGCCTATCTTATGAAGTGAATGAGATATGGGGTAAAGTTGAAAAAAAATCGAATGAACAGAACTGTGTATTAAACTGATATAGAAAACTGATCACAGAATCGTCAAGAAAAGAGTTGTTTCAAGTTCCTTAAGAGTGCTATACATGGGCTGGGAAAGTAGCTCAGTGGTAGAGCGCTTGCCTTGCACGTATGAGGCCCTGGGTTTGATTCCTCAGCACCACATAAGCAGAAAAAACCAGAAGTAGTGCTGTGGCTCAAATGGTAGAGCGTTAGCCTTGAGCTCAAGAGCTCAGAGGCAGTGCCCAAGCCCCATGACTGACAAAAAAAAAAAAAGAAGAAAAGAAAAACGAAAAAGAGTGCTATACATAGGGCTGGGAAGGTGGCTCAGTGGTTGCCTCTCATTCATGAGGCCCTGGGTTTGATTCCTCAGCACCACACAAACAGAAAAAGCCAGAAGTGGCGCTGTGGCTCAAGGGGTAGAGCGCTAGCCTTGAGCACAAAGCTCAGGGACAGTGCCCAGGACTTGAGTTCAAGCCCCACAACCAACAATAACAAAAAGAGTGCTATACATGACTAGGCATCTTTTGTAGGCTTATTTTCTGTAGATGAAAAAAATACATAATTTGAAACTTCACTTATTACATTTAATATAGTGTTGGTATTATTTATTGAAACTACATAATATCATGGAGTAAATTATGTTAACATTACTAGGAGCCAAATAGAAATATATATATATATATATGTATGTTTATGTACACACATATGTATGGCAAGAGAGGGTGTGGGGGAGAGAGATCTGAGGATCATGGTTTGAAGCCAGCCCTGGCAGGGAAGTCCATGAGACTCTTCTCTCCTGGAAGTGGTGCTGTGGCTCAAAGTGGTAGCACACTAGCCTTGAGTCAAAAAGTTCAGGGAAAGTACCCAGGCCCTGAGTTCAAGCCCCATGACCAGAAAAAAAACAAAAAAGCAAAACAAAACCAAAAAAACAAAACAAAAAAACCAGACCACAGCACACCACCAAATGCTACTTCCTTCTCCCTCCCCTAATCTTCCAGTAGAGCACCCTTTAGGACCTAACAGGTGGACAACCAAGCAGTAAGGTGCTGGAAGGTTGAGAGGGATGGAAGTCAACTGGGCAGTGATATGCTGGTAGAGTTTGTAACCAGAGTTCCCTACATGTCCACTGCCAGTGTCAACCTCAGCCTGCACTAACCATGTGCCTTGCCGCACAGAACAAGAATGTAGGGTTTTATGTATATGTGTATGTATGTACATTTGCTGGTACCAGGGCACAGGGCTTGACCCCAGGCTTCATAATTTTGCTCAGCTTTCCTAATCATGGCTAGCAGTCTACCACTTGAACCATGCCTCCTCCAGTTTGGCATTTTGCCATTTAACTGGAGATGACATCTTGCAGACTTTTCTTGCTTGCTTCAAATTGTAATCTTCCCAGTCTCAGTCTCCTGAGAATCTAGGATTGCAGGCGTGAGCTGCTCATGCCTGGCCAAGAATGTAGTTTTTTTTGTCAGTCCTGGGGCTTGAATTCTGTGCTTGGGTGCTGTCCCTGAGCTCTTCAGCTCAAGGCTAGCGCTCTACCACTTGAGCCAAAGTGCCACTTCTGGTTTTATGAGTGGTTTATTGGAGATAAGAGTCTTTTGCCCGGGCTGGCTTTGAACTGCAATCCTAAGATCTCAGCCTCCTGAGTAGCTAGGATTATAGGTGTGAGCCACTAGTGCCTGGCCCAAGAATGTAGTTTTAATGGGGGCTTTGAGGTTCCTGGGAAGTCTTGATGCTCACTTGTGGGGAATTCTGCTTTTGGATCAGCGCTAACCTGAATGGGCTAGCTGATACTCCTTGACAGCCTGATGTTGCTCCTGGACCAACAGATTCATCCTTTGACTCCACTCTTTTAGTTGGATATTTTTCTTTTTCTTTTTTGGTCAGACGTGGGCCTGAACTCTGGGCCTGGGTGCTGTCTTTCAGCTCTTTAGCTCAAGGCTAGCACTCTACCACTTGAGACATAGCGCTACTTCCAGCTTTTTATGCTTATGTGGTGCTGAGGAATTGAACCCAGGGCCTCATGCATGCAAGGCAAGCACTCTACCACTGAGCCACCTCCCCAGTCTGGCTTTTTTATTTCTTTTTACTCAGGGCCTTATGCTTGCTAGAACAATTGAGCAACCCTAACACCTCCTCCTTTTGTGTTATTTTTGTTTTTCAGTTTATGCTCGGGCCTGGACTGTGATCCTTCCATTTGTGCTACTGAATTAACAGGTGTGAGCCATCACACCCAGCTGAGATGAAACCTTGTAAACTTTCTTTGCCAGGACTGGCCTCAAAGCACTATCCCTTAATCTGCCAAGTGGCTAGGATTATAGGTTTGAGCTATCATGCCTGATTCTCACTGGCTCTTAACAAGTACTAGGGAAGGGCCCTCCATCTCCTCTTCCTCCAGAATCTTCCTTGGCCCTTTTCCTGGCCTCACTGGACCCCCAGAGGTCTCTTGTTGGCATGTAGGCTGTTGTGTCAATGCTTGTCTTGGTACCGATTCTATTTCTCCTGGATCTAAGCTCTTCCTTTTTAGTATTCATTGTGGAGCTTTGTCAGAAGAATGAGGAGCTGGATTAGGGGCAGCAACAGCCCATCTTACCTGGGAGTGTCTCTATGTGGCAAGAGATCCCTAAGAATTCTCAGGTACACCCTTCTCAGCCGTATACACACTTTCTCCTGACTCCTGGGCCATTCAATATTTTACCTCAAGTCCTCCTGCCTGAGCAAGCTTCAGTCCCTATGAAGGCAGCTAAAAGTCCAGTGGCATTGATAGCAAAGGGCTAAGGAAAAGAAGAGGCCATAAGGCTCCCTCTGGAAATAGTCTACCGATGTAACTAAATAGACTAGGGACAGTGAGGCGGAAGCACGGTCCAGGGAAGCCTCACCTCTAGTCTTTACCTCTCTCTGTGTCCTGGCAAACCCTGGTCCCAGCAGGTGGAGGGAATAAAATCCCAGGCCTTGGGAGTCTGTGTTCTGGTCCTTCTTCATTTGCCACTGTCTTAAGTGTAGTAAGCAGAATTGAGCTTGCGCTCCTTCACAATGTTCAGTCACAGGGAGCTCACTTTGTGGAACACTCTGGAAGCTCCTGTTTCTTTCTGCCCTTTTCTTCATAGTAGTTGGTCAGAGGCAGGATGTGAGAGCTAAAGGTGTTCTCTCTTCCCAAGTCAGACTTCAGTTAAGCAGGGGACTTGTCCCATGGGCCATGATGACACCTGCAAGCAGAGCTGAGCTGAGGTTGCCTTGACGCCTCCAGCTCCACAGGAACTTCTTGACGTCCTGCTGCTGGCCCAAGTGCTGTGGAGGCTCTGGCACCTTAACCTGGTAGGCCTGGCTACAAAACCGGCTTCAACCAGCAGGGGGTGTCTGCTTCCAAAAGTCCCTGAACCTTTGATAGAACTGGAGGCCATCTTGCCTTTAGAGGCTGGTGGAGGGTCAGTTTAGGGCTCTGAGCTGCACCTTGTCCTTGACTACTTTCTCTGCTCGATCAATGGGGCCTCCAAGTTTGGTGCTAGAACTCAGGAGTGAGTGATTAGAAGTCCATGCTCTTCACTTCTTAGTGGAAAGTGGACTGTGCCCTCACACTAGGCTGTGATCGAATGATCCCACCTGCCTCATCCCAACAGACAATGGTAGCTTCTCCTCTAGTATGCACTTCATGCTAGATAGCTTTTGGTGACCAAGATGCTGGACATCTTGGATGGGAAACCAGAGAGTACAGGTGAGCATGGCACAAAGATTGTTGCTCCAACATACAAAGAATGGAGGCAGAAGAGGAGTTGTTCTTCAGCTTTGACGAAGTTGACTGACAATGGTCTTAGGCCTGAGAGTTGGGTTCTGTGTCTACCAGGTCATGTATAAATGACAAGTTCTGCCATAATCAATCTTCTTGACTGGCTGAATATATAGGTACCAGAGTCAGTTCTCGTTGATGTACTCAGGAAGAGACACTTAAAAGGTTTTTGTGAGCTGGGTGCCGGTGGCAGAAGGCTGAGATCTGAGGATCACAGTTCAAAGCCACCTTGGGCAGAAAAGTTCCTGTGAGACTCTCATCTCCAATAAACTCCTCAAAAAAGCTGGAAGTGGCACTGTGGCAAATGGGACAATGATAGTTTGAGCACAAAGAGGCTCAGGGACAGTGCCCAAGTCCTGAGTTCAAGCCCTAGGACCAGCACATACACACAAAGGTATTTGTGCACACAACCATGTATCAAGGGGAATGAGGACAGATGGAGACTCAACTCCATCTAACTTCAGCTAAGGACAAACATCATATTTTCTTTTTGTCGGTCATGGGGCTTGAACTCTGGGCTGGTGCTGTCCCTCAGCTCTTCAGCTCAAGGTGAGCATGTACCACTTGAGCCACAGTACCACTTCCAGTTTTATGGTGCCCAAGTTGGCTCTGAATTGCGATCCTTAGATCTCAGCCTCCTGAATAGCTAAGATTACAGGTGTGAGCACCTGGAAAGGTCTAGAACTTTTAAGTCAAGATCATTTGGTAGTTCCTCATTGTCTAGGAGTTAGAACTGAAGGGCCTCCATAATCTACCTCTCCCAATCTCAGCCTCCATTCTCTGTCACAACCAGATCGATCTTCCCATCAGTTTGCTTAGCTCAGCTTCCCCCGTCCTTCAAGCACCGGAGCATGCCTCCTTTCCTCAGTCCCTAAAATTTCTTCTAGCCAGTGCACCTAATTCTCTGATTCACTTTTGAGTGTTAATCTGGTCTTAATCAATTGGCCTCCAGGCTGTCAGTGGCTTTTCCAAATTACATCGTCTCAGGCAGAAATTCCTGCAACCTGACAGGAATCTGTACATTTTCCTTAATTTCCCTGAAGAGCTTCTGCTGTCCAGGTACACAGAGAGATAGCAGCCAAGGACGAATGCACAGATCCAGGGTTTATTGTTGAAGTGCTGGGAAAATACATTCCAGACAGGAAGTAAAATGGACCTCCCTGCACTTGATACACGCAGAATATTCACAATATACCATCCACAGGCTGTGTGTATCACTGGAGCCTCCAGACCTAGTGTGGACTCTAGTAGGTTCATCAGGTGATAAGAAAGCAGGGCTGTCTTGTTGGTCAGGAGAAAGCACTCCCCAGGCACTGTATGTTAGCAGGCAAAGGTGACTTGCCTCATTCCCACATGAGCTGGGGCCTTCTCCAGCCTTGCAGGTTTCCATCCTCTTCCTAGGAATGGCAGTCGGGTTGGGGAACAATACCAGATCCTTTCTTATAGCTGTGTGAAGGGCCCATGAGCCATTTTACAGTCATCTGGGTGTAAGCCACCAAGCTAGACTGTATCCTTCCCTGGCTGTGGGTGCTACCTGGAGGTGACCTGGGAGGTGCTGGGGCTGGGGTGTGGCAGGACTGGTGGTCCGGGGGATGTCAGACTTTGAGTTAGGGACTCATCCAGCTTGCGGGTCTCAGCCTCTAGGACAGTGGCCTCTGGGGCCTGGGCTACAGTGAGAAGTGAGTGGGAGAGGCTGTGGTGCAGGCCTGCTAGTTCACGACTGGTCTGCACTGAGCGAGCGATGTAATCCTGCCTCTGCTTCCGTTCCAAGGCCAGCTGGGACCGCAGCAAGGCCACCTAATGGGTAGGAAAACCAAGGACAGCAATTTAGGACTCTGAAGTAGTCCCAATTCTTCTGCTCTGTATTCATGTGACTCTTGGTACACCACTGGAATGCATCTACCATATAATGGATCTCAAAATCAGGCTTTAGAGTGTTTGGGGGAAAGTACGCTATGAACTAAGAGAGAACATAGTGATTCTCACTACTGGCTGCACATGTACAATAAATCAAGAGCTTAAGACAGCAACAAAGCTGCTCATCAACTTTACTACAGGAAAATATGCATGTAATAAAATATCCAGGTTTTTTTTTTTGTTTTGTTTTGTTTTGATGCCAATCCTGGGACTTGAACTCAGGGCCTGAGCTTCTTTTGTTCAAGGCTAGCACTCTACCACTTGAGCCACAGCGCCACTTCCAGCTTTTTCTGTTTATATGGTACTGAGGAATCAAACTCAAGGGGTTGTGCATGCTAGGTAAGCACTATACCACTAAGCCACATTCCCAGTCCATGTGTCCAGGTTTTTAAGTATACAATTTGATGATATATGTATATTTTGATGGATGTACTATCCTAACCAAGATTCAGAGCTGTGTGTGTGTGCGTGCGCACACGCATGCATGTGCCAGTCCTTGTCTTAAATTCAGGGTCCGGGCACTGTCCCTGAGCATATTTGCTCAAGGCTAGCACTAAGCACTTAAGCCACAGCGCTACATTTTTTTTTTTTTGGTTGGTTGTGGGGCTTGAACTCTGGGCCTGGGTGCTGTCCCTCAGCTCTTCAGATCAAAGTGAGTGCTCTACCACTTCAGTCACAGCACCACTTCTGGTTTTCTGAGTGGTTTTTATTGGAGCTAAGAGTCTCATGGACTTTCCTGCCCGAGCTGGCTTTCAAATGCGATCCTCAGATCTCAGCCTCCTGAGTAGCAAGGATTACAGGCATGAGCTTCCAGCGCCCGGCACTACAACTCTATGCCTGGACCACAGCTCTACTTTTAACTTTTTGGAAATTTATTGAAAATAACAGTCCCATGGACTTTCCTGCCTGTAATTGAACAGAGATCCTCAGATCTCAGCCTCCTGAGTAGCTAGGATTACAATCATGAGCCATCAGTGCCTGGTTTGATACAGATTATTTTAATCTCTGTAGAAAATCTTATCATTCTCCTTTTGGAATATTTTAGAAAATAATCCAACTCAATTAGATTGAGGTGAGGCCTGATATTAGTACTTTTTCAAAGCTCCCCATATAGATCAAATGTACAGCCAGGGTTGAGAATCACTTCCAGCTTTTTCTGTTTATGTGGTACTGAGGAATCAAACCCAAGGCTTCACGTATGCTAGGTAAGCAGTCTACCACTAGGCCACATTCCCAGCCCTGTGACTGATTATTGAAAGAGGGCTAGAAATAAAAATTCCCCTGTAATCCCAACATTCAGGAGACAGAGGCAGGAGGATAGAGAACTGAGGTTAATCTGTGCTACATAGTGAGACTTGTCTCAAAAGAACAAAATAAAAACAAATCAAAATCCCACACTTTTTACTCTTGGTCTTTGAAGAGAGATATGTGAGCCTTATGAGACAAGTAGGCATAGTTTCCCCAAGGCTGGCAGAGTCATCCCAGCTCCTGTTCCTGTTCTGCTGGTGACAGTTGTGCCTTCAGGGCACAGCTGAGGGCAGAGGCTAACACCCAACTGCTTGCTCTAGCCGGTTCTATGCTTCTTCTTCTTTTTTTTTTTTTTGGTTCTGGTCGTAGGGCCTGAACTCTGGGCCTGAGTGCCGTCCCTCAGCAATTCAGCTCAAGGCTAGCACTCTACCACTTGAGCCACAGCGCCACTTCTGGCTTTTTCTGCTGATGTGGTGCTGAGGAATCGAACCCAGGGCCTCATGCATGCAAGGCAAGCACTCTACCACTGAGCCACCTTCCCAGCCCCTGGTTCTATACTTCTGTGTTCCCCTCAGCTCCTTCCTTTTTCCTTATGCTTTCTGTGACTCTGTCCCCTTCCCATACAAAGCATATGCCAGGTGAAGTTGGCACTGGAGTCTTTCTTGTATCCACTGAAGACAAATTTCTCTAAAGGCAGGAGCTACAGCCCCTCTTCTTGCCAGTGACGCACAAAGGGCCTAACACACAATAGATACTAAACCCTTACTGCCTACACGTAAGGGAGAGAAAAGAGGCTTAGAAGGTGGATCCTTCCAACACCTACCTCTTTCTGCAGTTCAATCACATGCTTGGCATCTGAAGACACCCTCTGTACTTCTTTACCATCCTGAGGAAGACAAACATCTGTCTTGTTGCAATGGGCTGGGCATGGGCTATGGCCTAGAAGTACCTGAACTCAAGACTAAACCTCTACAGGGCATACCCTGGGGTAAGGAGACAAGGGGGCCCACAGCAGTATAATGGGCACTGCCATGGGGGACTTGATGCTAAATGTCCAAAAAGCTTGAATGGTATTTGCTTTTGTGAGGTCCTTTTGTGTTGTTTGTTTTTTGCTAGTCCTCGGTCTTGAACTCAGGCCCTGAGCACTGTCCCTGAGCTTCTTTTTGCTCAAAGCTAGCACTCTACCACTTCAGCCACTTCCGGCCTTTCTGTTTATGTGATACTGAGGAATTGAACCCAGGGCTTCATGCAAGCTAGGCAAGCACTCTACCACTAGGCCGCACGCCCAGCCCAAGAACTTTTTTTATTTAACGGAAATATACCATGCATCTGCTTTGTACCAAGCCTGGGATGTGAGGTGAGGATGCCTCGGTGAAAAAAGATAAGGTGCCTGCCCTTGGGAAGCTTTCTCTATAAGAGAGCTGGAGAGCTAGAGACATATAACCATCAGAAATAGTCCCTCTCTGCCAGTCCCTCTTCAACAGGCCAAGCCTGTTGAGGTTTGAAGGGCAAACCTCAGATTAGAGATAGTTTAAGGAAGTCTCAAACCTCTTTACTAGAAAAAGGGATGCTGTTCCCTGAAATGACATAGACCTATATCTTATAAACTTAGTTCTATAAAGACATCTATGAAATCTCCAAAGCGGAGATCAATAACCCTATGCCCAAGATTCTGGCTAGCTCCCTTCTCATGCTCCCAAGGACTCCTCTGTTATTTCCCAGGTGAGCCAGAGATGCATGCCTGAGAATGTACAGATACAAATTCCTGTGGATGCAGGGCTACTAGCCTTCACCCACCAACGCATCATGGGCCTCCTTTCTCAGGGCTAGGACAGACTAAGCAGTGTGGAATCCAATCAGGAGTGGCTACAATGGCTGTTTCTACATCAGAGGGTGGCTTGGAACATGCACTAGAGAGGGTTGAGTTTCTGATCTCTAGGGGTCCAGATGGGAAAAGAGATAAACCTGTTGTATGGGTGAAGAGGCCATGGCTTCACTGATCTCCTGGGACCCAGCTCGAGATGTGCGCATGGAATCTCTCTTCAGCTTCCTCCGCTCTCGCTCCACCTGCCCACATGCAAGTGAGAAATCAGATCTTGGCTTGGAGCAGTACATGTACAGTGGTGAGTATAAAGGGACAGCAATAGGATTCAAGACTCCTAGGCTGGGGAGAGCAAAGACATGTTCCTGGGGCAGAGGAGGTAAGCCATATCTCAGGCTCTTAGAGAAAAGGTAAGCAAACATTTTCTGTAACAAGTATCTCAGGTTTTGTGGGCCATTCACAACTGCCCATTCTCCATGGGCAAACTGCCACAGACAACATATGGTTGTGATCCAATAAAATCGTATTTTAACTTTTTTTTTTTTTTGCCAGTTCTGGGGCTTGAACTCAGGGCCTGAGCACTGTCCCTGAGCTTCTTTTTGCTCAAGGCTAGCACTCTACCACTTTGAGCCACAGTACCACTTCCAGCCTTTTCTGTTTATGTGGTGCTAAGGTATCGACTTCAAGCATGCTAGGCTAACACTAAGCCACTTGCCCAGCCCTAAAATTGTATTTAAGAAATAGGTGGGTTTGTCCTACAGGTTGGGATGTGAGTAGACATACATACTCACTGAAGAGAGCAGACATTACCGACCTGCTCCAAGGTGATCCGCAGCTGGACATTGTGGCGCTGTAACCTACTTCGGTCAATCTCTAGCCGTGCCACCGCTTGCTGTAGATGCTCAAGCCTTTGTTTCCATGACTGCTTCTCCTCCATACAAGGACTAGGCTCAGCCTCTCCTCCTAAGACCTGTGGAGAAGACTTGTGAATCTCACCTGGACAGCCCAACATGCAGCTATGGGGATCAAATGGAGAGCAAAAGAAACAGTATGGCAGGTTGGGCATCAGGGATCCAACCCCCAAGGAGGAGAAAAAGCCCTGACAGGAATGCTCTGTTAGGAGTTCCCAACAGCTCACCTCTTCAGGCTGTACTCCCTGTTCTGCTCGGGGCTCCTGCTCTGCTGGGTAGGCTGAGCAGGGGCTGTGTAGCCGCTCCTTCTCTAGAGTCTGTCTGGTGAGTGCCAGCTCCTCCTGGAATATGGAGGTAAGGGACAAAAATCACACCTTGCCAATTTTTTAGTCAGATCTTCCTCTGCTCTCTCCATCCTCATAAAAACAAATTCCATTTCCTTACAGAGAGTAGACTTAGAATTCCTGGAACCTCTTAGCTATTCTAGAACCTTCATTTTCCAGACGAAGGAAACGAGGAATATTCCTAAGATTTCAGGGTGAGCATTCAAGTGAACTAGGTTCAGAACTCCCATCTTGTCTTGGATCACAATAAAGCCAGGTGATGACCTGGGACATTGACATGTTCTGGAAAGCAAAGACTTGAGTCATGCAGAGCGGGATGCAACATTACCTTATTAACTAAATGACTTGGGTCAAAATATGAGTTTGCTCCAAACTCCAAATTTCCCCTTTACAAGTGACTATAAGTTCCAAAAAATATGAGGTTAAATTTCTTTGGATGAATGGGGAAATGTAACTCATTTTTAGGCACCCTATGTTTTGTAAACAGTAACAGTCAAGAAAGAGGTCAGAACAGAGGAAAGGAGTGTGGGTGTGGCAGAGTGTGAAAGGAAGAGCTTGAGGTTTTTTTTTTTTGGGGGGGTGGGGGGGACGGTCATGGGCCTGGGCGCTGTCCCTCAGCTCATTGGCTCAAGGCGAGCACTCTATCACTTGAGCCATGGTGCCACTTTCGGTTTTCTGGTGGTTTACTGGAGATGAGATTCTCATGGACTGGGCTGGCTTTGAACCATGATCTTCAGATGTCAGCCTCCTGAGTAGCTAGGATTATAGGCGTGAGCCACCAGTGCCTGACAAGAGCTTGAGTTTGAATCAGACTGTTAGATCCAATCTACTTTGGCCAGTTACCAGCTATGACTTGAAACAAGTTAACCTCTGATTGCCATATCTCAACTATAAAATGAGTAGTGTCAGTTCCTTTTTTTCCAGGACAGTGAAAGAAAGGGAAAGTGGGGCTGGCATGTAAAATGCTTTAAAGGATGAAGAGTTGTACCTAAAAGATGCCTTTGAGTATTTGAGGAAGAGTGGGTGAAATGCCCTACTCTAGTTATATCAGTGAGGGAACACTGTGTAGTAACTCATGAGCATGGAAATGCCTTCCTCACCAGCTACATGCTGTTTTTTCTTTTTTTGCTGTGTCTATGAGGATGGAAACAGACAAGGAATTTCACTGATGAGTGCCTTCTTCTTGGGGAGATATGCTCACTTTTTTTCCCTTTTTTTTTTTTTTTTTTGCCAGTCCTGGGGCCTGAACTCTGGGCCTGGTTATTGTCCCTCAGCTCTTCAGCTCAAGGATAGTGCTCTATCACTTGAGCCACAGTGCCACTTCTGGCTTTTTGTGCTTATGTGGTGCTGAGGAATCAAACCCAGGGCCTCATGAATGCAAGGCAAGCGCTCTACCACTGAGCCACCTTCCCAACCCTGGTATGCTTACTTCTAAGGTGCCTCTAGGCCCAAGGTGGCAGACAGCCCCTGAGCTTAGCCAGATAGGCTCTGTCCTTGGTCCTTACTCCCCCTGGAGTGACTCACCTGCAGTCTTTGCTGTTCCGATTCCTGCTCCAGGACAGAAGCTTGTAGGAACATGGTTACTTCTTGCAGACTGCTGACACTGGCTTTGCTCTGGGCTAAGGACAGTGCCAAGTCCCGAGCTTTCTCTCTCCACTCAATCTCCCTGGCTTCTGTCTGTCTCAGGGCTACCTGTAGTCGCTCCAACTCCCGCTGCAGCTTGGGCCCTAAAGAATCTAGTTTTGAGGATGGTTCCTCCACTGGGGAGGCTTTGGAGCTGGGGGAAAAGGCCTCTATGTTTTTCTGTTGCTGGGCCCCTCTCAGCTCCAGGATTTCCTCTTCCTTTTGGGCTAGAATCAGCTGTAGCTTCCTTAAACTCTCACGAAGACCCCTGGTCTCTTTTCTTTCTTGCTCCTGACTCTGCTTCTCTTGAGTCCTCTGGGCCAGAGACTTCTCCAGAAGCTGTCCCTGTTCCTTTTGCTGCCTCAGCTCTTTATCCCTCTGGGCAAGCGCCTGCTGGAGCTGCTGCATGTCCTCTTGATGTCTGAGATCCTGGTCTTGAATCTCACCTTCTCGAATCCTCAGGGCCTCCTCCAGCTGTCGGGCATGTGCCTGGCAGGCATCCAGGGTGGATCTCAGAGTAGTACTGCTGGCCTCTAGACTGTGGCTCAATTTGGCCTGCTCAAGGAGACTCTGTTCCTTCTCCTGGAGGGAGGTGTGGGCTTTGCTGAGGGCCTTCTGCAGAGCCTCTGCCTGACCCCATGCAGCCTTCTCCTGCTGCCTAAAGGTCTGGTTTTCTGCCTGCAGAGCCTCTAGCTCCTGGTCCCGTTCCTTGAGTGTGGCTTCTGCTTGGAGGCAGCTGTCCTGCAAGGCTCTGGCTTTGGCCTCATGCTCCTGCACCTGCTCTGCACACTGTTGCTGAAGGGCCAGTAGAGCCTTTTCCTGTTCCCGAGACTCGGCCCTCAGATCTCCCAACACCTCCTGCAAGGCCTGCACTTGCCGTCCTTCCACTGCCAGCTCTTCCTGGAGTCTTCGTACCTGCTCTCTCTGCTCCTCCAGCTCTCCTTGGTGCTCCCTCAGGGTCCTGTGGGCCTCATCCAGAGCTGCCTGGAGTGCACTTTCCTTTTCTTTCAGACTCTCCTCTCGGGTCTGTGCCTGTTGCTGTTCTCGTTCTAGGGCTTCAAGTTCCTGGTCCCTTTGGGTCAGGGCTCTCTGGGCCTCTTCCAGCTGACATTGAAGTGACTGCTCTTTTAGTTCCCCTTGTTCCTTTGCTTCCTGCAGGTGCCGCTGTAGGATCACTATCTCTTGTTCCTGCTGGGTCAGTAGCAGGTTGGACTCACCTACCTTCCTATGCAGGCCCTGGAGCTGCTGTTCTAGCTGCTCCTTGTGCTCTCGAAGTTCCTGGATGTGCTCCTGCTGGCATTCTACCTCCTTTTCCTTCTCACGCAGGATCAGCTTCATGTGCTCTAGGCTCCCGCGCTGTGCTTTACTAGGACTCTTTGCTTCCTCTACCCGTTCCTGTACTGAGGGTCTCTGAGAGGCCATCTCTCGGCCATGTTCTCTCAAGGACAGTTTGATCTGTTCCAGGTCCTCCTCTAAGATCTTGGTCTGCAATGTCCTCTGATCTTCCAGAACCTGAATCCTTTCCTTCTGCAGTATCAGCTCCTGGCCTCTCTGCACTAGGTCCTGAGTCAGATGTTCCTTTTGCCTTTGCAGATCCTCAATCTGTAGGCGCTGGGACTTTACCTCCTGGTCCCTGTCCTGAAGCTTTCTTGCCAGAAGGGTGCTGTGGCTCTCCTGCTCATGGAGCTGGCTGCTTTTCACTTGCAGCTCCTGGCTCCTTTCTTCCAGGTCTAGTGTGAGGTGAGTCAGGGCCACCCTCTGCATTTCCCTCTGCCCCTCCAGCTCCTCAATCATCTTCTGTAGGCTCTCCACTTTGTGATGGCTTTCTTCCACTTCCACGGCCAGGCGTTCCAGAGTTACTAGCTGCTTTTTTAGATCCTGAATCTGTCCTCTCTGTGACTCAATCACTTGGGTCTTCTTCTCCAGTTCCAGAAGTTGATTCTCCAAGACATTTTGCTGGGCCTCTCGGTCCTTCTCAAGCTCTTTGATCTGTTCTCTCTGCACAGTCAGCTTCTGCTCTCGCTCCTGCACAGCCATAGGTAGGTGTTCTAAGACAGATCTACACTTCTCCAGCTCCTGAATCTGTTCTTGTTGCAGATCCACCTCTTGATTCCTCTTCTTCAGGTCCAGAGACAGCAGTTCCAGAGCAGCCTTCTGCATTTCCCTCTGTTTCTCCAGTTCCTGGATTTTTCCCTGCAAAGTCTCCACCTCCCCTTCTCTTTCAGACAGGGTCTGGGCCAGTAGAGCCAGATTCTCCTGCAAAGCCTTGCCCTGAGCCATCTTCAGCTCTCCCTGCTCTTGCAGAGCCTGAGCTCTTTCCCGTTCACTCTCTACCTCTTCGTTTTTCAGTTTCAGTGCTGAGCGAGCTGTTCGCAGGTCTTCTTCCAGAATCTCAGCCACATTTGCTTGGGCCCTGGCTTCTGCAACACATGCTTGCAGGCGGTCCACTTGGGCCATCAGGTTCTCCTTCGCTGCCCGAAGTAAATCTTGCTCACTCTGGAAAACAAGGGGCAAAACTACCTTAGATTGGGATACGTCCCTGATACTACAATACACTCTAGCACTTGCCTTATTCTGTGGTCTCAGCGGTACCTTGGGCAAAGTAAGTGATGCATTCCATTTTTGCTGATCCTGTAAATGAGCATCTGTACCACCACACAAGTATGGCTCTGCTATTCCCAGGAGAAAGGGTCTACTGTGAATGAGTCATCTCAGACTCTGTTCTTACAGAGCAAGTGATAAAAATCTCATCCACATTTCAGAAAAAAGTAATTGAAGGAATTATTAGGAGCTTAATACTGGTCTTCAGGGACATTTGGACAGCCGGAGGAACTGAGTATTGCTGAAGGAAGCTGAGCATAAAGCCACAGGCCAAGATTAAGCCTGAGAGGTCAAGTCTTGGGCCTTAAGGTAGAAACCTTGAGGCACCCCTCCCACAACACCAGTATCACTTCACCTGAGCATCCATTCTTTGCAGCTCTGCCTGCCGTAGGCGACTCTGTAAGGATGCCACAGTCTCATGCAGGTCCTTCAGCTCAGATTCCAGACAGTTTTGTTTTCCTTCCCACTTGGATTTCTCTTTGGGAAGAGCAGAGGTAGTGGAGTCAAAGCCATGGTTGGGAGTGTGAGAACACAGGGTACAAGAGGCAGATGGAGGATAGAGCACAGAAGCAAATGGGAAGGAGCCAGGAGGGAGAGAATTACATCCAGTGTCCTAAGACTTCACTCATCTGCCAGCTGCTCCTGTGGTCTAGCTTCCCTGCTGTCTTCACAGGCCAATCCTAGTAATCATCTTAACACTTTTCCCTCCTTGTCACAAAGATCCTCAACCTTAAACTCCAGGTAGGGTAGAGCTAGCTAGTAACGGGGGTGCCTTCCAGCCCCCAATTACGTGAATTTGTAGAGGTTCCTTGAGACCTGGTGGCTCTGCTGCCTGCCGCTCATTTCTGCAACATGCTCTAAAAGGTAGCTCTGTGTGTGGATCTTGAGAAGCCATCAAAATTGTCCTCAAAAGGCCCAGCACCTCCCTCACCCCCATATGCCTTATTCTCTTCTACAATAGAAACTTGAGCCTCAAGAACCTTCCCCCTCCTCTCGTTTCCAAATAGTCATCACCCCCCTAGTCCTAGGCTAGGCTAGAGATATGCTGTCCCCAGATTCCATCTCCTTGCTTTCTCCCAAATAAGCCCATGATCATTTTACCCTCTAAAGTTATTTTAATGGCATAATTAGAAATAATAAAAATAAGTGGGAGCTGAGCTCGGGTGGCTCACATCTATAATCCTAGCTACTCAGGAGACTGAGATCTGGATTGTGATTCAAAGCCAGCCTGGGTAGGAAAGTCTGTGAGATTCTTATCTCCAACCAGAAAACTGGAAGTAGAGCTGCGGCTCAAAGTGGTAGAGCACTAGCCTTGAGCAAAAGAGCTAAGGGACAGTGACCAGGTACTGAGTTCAAGTACCATAACCAACCAAAAAAATTTTTTTAAAAAGTGGAGCTGGTAGTGTGGCCCAAGTGGTTGGTAGAGTGTCTGCCTAGCAAATGTGAGTTCAATTCCTAGTACTCCCACAAAAGAATATAGATAAATGGCAAAACAAAATTCTCCATTTGGTGGTGGGCGTTATTTGCTTGTTTTGGCTTTTGAGACGGGTCTTGTTATGCACCCCAAGTTAACCTTGGCTCATTCTATAGTTCAGGCTATTTTCTAGTGCTTCTTGTTAGGCCCACCTGGGAAAATGGCCCCTTCCCTCTCTGTACAGGATCCCATGTGACCCTACCAAGAAATCCCCACCCAGCACCTGTAGCCCAGGTAACTGGTGCACCTGGGGGTAGGGGGAGATCCCCAGGCTCTGAGGTCACTTCCTCATACACTGAGGTCATGCCTCCTTCTTGCCCTCCCCTATATAATCTCTTTCTGCCATTTGTCCTCTCTTTGCACACCTCCATCTGGATCAGGCTGGCATTTTGATTCTCCCAATAAACTCTCTTCTGCCTGAATCATGAGAGGTCTCTTTTCACTAACCCTTATATCTGGTGCTGAAACCCGGGAGGGGATAGTGTCAGGAGTTGCTGGATCCCATCCACTTCTTTTTTTTTTTTTTTTGGGTCCGGTCGTGAGGCCTGAACTCTGGGCCTGGGCACTGTCCCTCAGCTCTTCAGCTCAAGGCTAGCGCTCTACCATTTGAGTCACAGCGCCACTTCCAGCTTTTTTTCTTTTTGCTTATGTGGTGCTGGGGAATTGAACCCAGGGCCTCATGCATGCAAGGCAAGTGCTCTACCACTGAGCCACCTTCCCAGCCCATCCCCTCCACTTCTCTACCTTTCCAAGAGTCAATATGCTTCCTCGAACCCAAACTGTTTAGGCAAACTGTCCTGAGTCCAAGACTCACTATAAATAGAAATAGCAGAACAAAAACACTAACTGGGACATACCATCCCAGCAATGAGCAAAAACACCAGTGCGACATCATCCCAGCAAGAGGGATGGGACAAAGCTAGTCCTGGCAAGGAAGGATCATGGAGAGGAGTAAATCATTCAGAGGCAGTTGCAAAGAACTGTATAGATAAGGGGATGGTGTAATTTTGTACTTGCCCTTTCAAAACTAACCAGAACTGGGAGGTCAAAAAAATAGTTAATAAACATGCTTATCTAATGCTCGAACCTGACTTCTAACTGGACAGGAACTTACATTTTTGCCTCTGTTACCTGCTATTTCTATTTATAGTGAGTCTTTGACTCAGGACAGTTTGCCTTGGCATCATCCTAGGTCTCCCATTCATACCCTATAGTCCAGACATCTATAGTCCCATTACAGGCAATGATCAAGGCCTCCTACTGGTCCCTTATCCACTCAAATCCAGCCCCAGCTTCTGACTGGTTATTCTTAACCGGTCCACCATGCTCTCCCCTACCCAGTCACCAGATGTTAATCAGTCAGAAGCAGTTAGGGATATGATCCACCAACTCCAGGACTGCCTGGAATGCAGGAGACAGGAACTGGCCAAGTCATCCAAGTTTTTCTTTTCTGCCCTTCTGCCATTTGTAGGCCATCTAATATGTTCTTTCTTTCTTCTTCTTCTTCTTCTTTTTTTTTTTTTTGCCAGTCCTGGGGCTTGAACTCAAGGTCTGTGCTCTGTCCTGAGCCTCTTTGTGCTCAAGGCTAGTGCTCTACCACTTGAGTCACAGCACCACTTCTGGCTTTTTCTGAGTAGTTTATTGGAGATAAGTGTCTCACAGATTTTCCTGCCCAGGCTATCTTGATCTGTGGTCCTTATATCTCAACCTCTTGAGTAGCTAGGATTATAGGCCCATGAGCCACCGGTGCCTGGCTGTTTTTCTTACTGTTCAGCCCCTGCCTTGTAAGATGTCTTTCAGACTTTATCAAGCGAATGCGTTCACCACCAAGGAACTGTTACTGCTGCCATCTCCTGGATTGGAAGACATCTCCACCTTCTACTCCTAATTTTGATGCCCCTTGTCAGCAGGAAGTAGGCCAGAGAGAGTCATCATTTCTTTATCAAAAGGCTGGAATGTTAGGTCTGCCCAGGAAAATGGCCCATTCTCTCTCCATGTAGGACTCTATGTGGCCCTCTCTACAAAGACCCCATCCAGCACCTGTAACCCAGGTAACTGGCACACCTGGGGGCAGTAGGAGGTCCCTTAGGCTCTGAGGTCACTTCCTCATCCTCCGAGGTCACTTCCTCATATGCTGCAATCACACTTCCTTCTTCCCTCCCCTACATAATCATTAGTTCTCTCTCTGCACACATACATCTGCTACAAGCTGGTAAGCTGGTTCTCCCAATAAACTCTCTTCTTCTCAAAATGCGTGGAGGTCTCCTTTCATCAACTCTTACATTTCTAGTTTTTTTGTTTTTTTTTTTAAATTTCTATGAATGCAACTGGGAATGTGGCTTAGTGGCTGAGTGCTTGCCTAGCATTTATGAGGTCCGGGTTCAATTCTTCAGCACCATATAAAAACCTCAGTACCACACAGCTGGATACTGGTGGCTCATGCATGTAAGCCTAGCTACTCAAGAGGCTGAGATCTAAGGATTGCAGTTCCAAGCCAGCCCAGGTAGAAAAGTCCCCGTGAGACTCTTATCTTCAATTAACCATTCAAAAACCGGAAGTAGTGGCTCCAGTGGTAGTGCTAGCCTTGAAAAAAAAGAGGCTCAGGACAGTGCCCAGGCCCTGAGTTCAAGCCCCACAACCAGCCCAAAAAAAGTAATAAAAATTATATTAAAAAACTGAAGACAAACACTGAAGTCTCAGTATGCCAAATCTTTCCCTTCTAATCCCTTCCCAAGGTGGCTCACAAAGCAGAACAATAGTCAAGGGACTCATTGCCTTTGGCAGATGAATTAGACATCATCTCACAGTTGTGGGTAAACAATGTAGAGTGCTGCTAAGCTAATTCCTGCCACTTCAAGTCTTCCTATCTATCCTCCTTCACATCTGCCCACCTGCATGCCTCACCTTCCTGGTTCTGGAAGAGTTGTTTCTGCAGGTCCTTTAACTCTGACTGGATCTGGTTCTTCTCGGCCTCAACACTAGTTAGACTCTGGGCCAACTTCTGGACCTGGTCACTCAGATTATCCTGGAAAAGGAAGGGAAGGTTTGAACTTGAGCTCCTCATCTGTACAAATCTATCCCAGTCTGGGCTCAAGCTCTGTTCTCACTCATAGGCTCTAAGGTAGTCTGCCATTATAACCCCAGTCTCAGCTCCTTGAGGATTTTTGTTTAAACAACCAAAAAAAAAAAATCTGAACTTACATGTGTTTAGTTCCCTGATATAAAGATGAGTTTTGTTCTAATTGATTTGAATCAGAAAGACTCTCTGACTTATTGTCTAAGTTTTTTGAAACAGAACTGTTCATAGGGTGCATTTCTTCCCTCCCAAATGTCTACCTTAAAATTTGTCAGCCCAAAGTCACCTTTTTACCTTTTCTTTCTAGACCTCTCCAAGCTACTAGGAGAAGTTGTTTCTCTCTCCTACTTCCAACAGTGTATTATTCACGACTGTGAAGAAGCCAATTACTCTCATCAGTTATGTTTTCTATCAGAATAAAGTTTGGTCTCTCAACCAACAGCCCTCTTAAGGATAGAAGAGATCAGGTCTCTTTGTATCACCTGCTCAGAGTGGCTGGTGTATGAGTGGCACTGAAGGTGGAATTTGTGGGACCTTTAGTTCAGTTTTATGCCTAGAATGAGTTTATAAGCAGCAACCTCAAATCTTAGTGGTCTCCAACCTCCCACGCTTCTCTTGGAAGCCTGGGTACCAAAATTAACTTCATGGCTGAGAGAAAATGATGCAAAACAAAATGACATGTGTATTCAGGTCTTGCAGTTAGTCACTTAATCCTCACAATGATCCTGGGAGGTAGGCCTTATCTGCCCTACTTTGCAGTTGAAAACAAGGCCCAGGAGATCCACCTGCTTTGGTCCCAGTTGCCAGGCAGTAAGTAATAGACAGGCACTCATCCCAAACTGAATCTCAAGCTGCATATTCCAAACTGTATAGTCTGTCTCAGACTTTTAGCAGAGTTAAGAGTTCTTGGATAGAGGACAGAGAACCTACCCGGGCCTGCTGAGTCTTGCACAGGTCTTGGTGAAGCTTGTGGAGGGCAGATGCCACGGCCTCAGCTGAGAAAGCAGTCAGGAGGGGTCCTCTCTTAAAAAGGTTCCTAGCTCCATTCTGGTCTGAAGAAACGAAAATCTTCTCACCTGGCTGCCATTATGTAAAGAAACCGTTATCTCTTCCCCAACAGGGAGAGATAGCTTCCTACTGGCCTCAAAGAATGCTTTCTTGGCAATTCATTTACATACATGTCAGACACTATGGTGGGAACTATATAATGTTAGCTAGTGTTTCATTTACATGACAGGAATTGCAGGAGCTACTTATAGCTACCAGCTCCTTGGAAAAATACTAAGGTATGTAAATACTTTGAACATTCTCCTTTTACAGTTGAGGAAAATCAAACTCAGAGAAATTATAGGATTCTTCCTTGGTCACACATCTAGCAAACAGCAGAGATGGGGTTCAAACTCATGTAGAATGAATCCCAGAGCCTGTGGCCTTAACCTTGATGCACTATTGCTTAAGGATCTACATTTCTCTCACTTCTCCCCTGGGAATTACGCCTAGTTTTGGCCCAAAGAACTTAAGTTTCAGGGTGTTGGCCTCACCTGGCTCTGGGCCCCAGAGTGGGGGAGCAGAGTCCCCTCCTCCCCTTAGTTCAGGTCTGCTTTCATATACAGATCCCAGGGCCTCTTGCAGGACAGAGTAGAGGCTGGCCAGCTGGGCCTGGGCCTGGTTCACAGGCTGCTGCTCTGCTGCCAGAGCCTCCAGCTGGCTCTCAGTGCTGTGCAGGCGTAGCTGCAGTTGAGTTGTCTTGGCTTCCTGGGTCCACAAGGAAGCTCGAAGCTGCTGCTCTGTGATCCGACAGGCCTCTAGCTCCTCCAGCAGCTGTGCTTCCTGGGCCACAAAGTCGGCCTCCCTTTTCTTTACTTCCTGCTTGAGCAATTCCACCTGCCAGGGAGGAAGTGAACTCATTTTGAGTAGGGAGTAGATATTCTTCCAGGCATCAGTCTACTCAATCCCTATGCAGAGCCTGACCAGAGCAAGAAAGGTTTCAGAAGACTCAGCTCTCTCGTGGGTAGGGAGGACTCTGAATAAGTAGCACTCTGACATCTAGAGATGACCAGCTAGGCCCAGACTACCATAATGGGCTCAGGCTCTGGCTTCCCAAGTAGACAGATTTGTCAACTCCCTGTTATGATCTCTGCTCTGAAACCCCTAGTAGTCAAATTCAAACTGTCTAAAAGGAAACTTGTCTTTACCTGTCTCACTTTTACTCCCTCACTTCCCCTCAAGTTCCAAAGGTATAGCTGTGAGAAGAATGAATCCCTGAGGGTTATCTTGCTATTACCTACTTCTAGTATTTCTCACTGTTCAATCCTCACTGCTATATTTTGCCAAAAGGCCAAGCACATGTGCAAGTGACTATACAAGGACTAGGCCTGCCTGGGCTCTGCTGCTCTGGACACTGTTTCAGACTGTCAGGTTCCCTACAGGGTCCATTCTCATCTGAGTCATGTTCCCCAACCCTGACCTTGCCCAGCTCTTCTGACAGGGTTGTTGAGGCCCAGCCTATCTTGTTATTAGGAAAAAGAGAAGTATCCTCCACCAAGAAGCAGGGTGTATAGCCATAGAGGAACGTACCTGCATACTGAGCTCTTTCTGCCCTTTCTGGGCCTCCTGCGTGGCCTGGTGCAAGGAGTTCAACTCTTGCTGTCGAACACTGTCAGTTTCTTGTAAAACAATGAGTCTCTGTTCCTTTTCCACCAGTGACAGAGTCAAGCTAAAAATAAAGGAGTCAGAGGGTATGTCATTCTCTCTAGGAGTAAGAATTGGTCTATTCTAATTCATAGCACTATTAAAATAGAAATAGTAATAGCAATTTCAGTGTCACCATAAAAGGTACCATTTATTGAATACCTACTAAGTGCTCCTAGGTAATTACCTCATTTCAACTTACCTATCCTTCTCTACTAAATTTCACATGTATCAAATTTGGTATGTCCAATCTTCCCATGCCTTCTGAACCTTCAACTCTAACCTAATCATCTCCTACTATTCTCTCTGCCTCTCTTTATCACAGGATCACAACATAGAAACCTTGACCTCTTCACAGAGTTCTCCTTCATCCTACCCATATCTAACCCATCACTACACATAATTAATTCTCTGAACATCTCTTAGACTCTTTCCATCCTCCTCTTCCCTATTACCTACCCCGGATTAAACTCAGTATCTCTTCTGGGTATTTGTATTGGTTTCCAGATGTTCTTTCTGCCTTTAGTGTTACTACCAAAATGATCTATCCTTTTTCAAACTCTGGTAACACTGAAAATGCATGTTGCTTTCCATTCTGAATGGTCTTATGTTACTCCTGATGTTTCATACCATTACTAAACCCTTTTAATACTTCATAAATTGGATAATATTCATTTTCCTGTTTGAAATTCTCCAGCATTTTTCTACTAAACAATAATTACAGGTGGTTCATACCTGTAATCCTAGTTACTCAGGAGGCTGAGGTCTGAGGATCATGGTTCAAAGGCAGCCCAGATAGGAAAGCCTGTGAGACTCTAATTTTTAATGAATTGACCTCTTCCCAAAAATAAAGCTGGAAGTGAAGCTCTGCCTCAAATGGTAGAGCATTAGCCTTGAGCAAAATGAAGTTCAGGAGCTGGGCACTGATAGCTCATGCCTGTAATGCCAGTCAGTAGGCTGAGATCTAAAGGCTGTGGTTCAAGGCCAGCAGGGAGACTTTTATCACCAATAAATCACCTAAAACCTGTTAGTGAAGCTGTGGCTCAAAGTGGTAGAGTGCTAGCTTTGAGCAAAAAGCTCAGGTATAGTGCCCAAGTCCTGAGTTCAAGCCCTATGACCACCACCACCACCAAAAGCTCAGGAACCACACACAGGCACTTAGTTCAAGCCCCAGCACCAGCACCAAAAAACAAAACAAAAACAAAAATCCATAAACCCTTTGCCATTGCCTACAATATCCTGAATAAGATGGATTTGTCTAGCTCTCCTCATTTACCATGTTCCACACTTCATCTCAGGGCCTTTGAACAGGATTTCTGATTTTACTGTTTAGAATTCTCCTTCACTCCTTTGTGTGGGTGACTCCAATTCAACCTTCAGTGCTAGTTTTTTTTTTTTTTGGTCGGTCGTGGGGCTTGAACTCTGGACCAAGGCGCTGTCCCTCAGCTCTTCAGCTCAAGGCGAACGCTCTATCACTTCAGCTACAGCGCCACTTCCGGTTTTCTGGTGGTTTATTGGAGATAGGAGTCTCACAGTCTTTCCTGCCCGGGCTGGCTTTGAACCGTGATCGTCAGATCTCAGCCTCCTGAGTAGCTAGGATTACAGGCGTGAGCCGCCAGCGCCCGGCTCAGTGCTAGTTTAAACACAACCGTCTGAGAAAGTCTTTCCCAAACACCTTTCCAAAGCAGATCTCTGTTCTTATTTCCATTTCACACTGTTTCTTTCTCCACACTAAGTATCATAGTCTATAATAATTACTTGATTAAAGTCTTCCCCACAAAACTGTAAGTTCTACTGAGGCAGGGACCACATTGTCCTGTTTATCACTGTGCCCCCAATTCTGGCAGTGTCTCCAAGTATTTACTAAATGAACGAAATTTCAGCTTTGAGGGCAGGAACACATCCTTCTCTATATGGCTGCATATATATACCAGAGCTAGACATGAAAGAGGATGTGACCAGAGAAAAGAACTGTCAGATTATTGCCACATAACCCTTGCAGTCAGAAAGGCAAAATCCACCTCTGTGTCTAGCCTACCTGGCTCTCTCTCTCTCTAGTTCCTCCTGAATTCGGCTATATTCCTGGGCTTCTTTCAGCTTCTCCTGAACCTCTTGCTCCACCAGCCTGTAGGAGTTATCCTGGGCCACCAGCTGACACTTCAGATCTTCCACCTGCAAGGTTATAGGCATAAGAACCAGATGGCAGAGCAGAGGGCCAGTGGGAGTATCCTTCTAGCCTAGGGCTTTAGGGTCTCGCACAGGGAATGGCCTATCTCTACAACGCTAGAGATTCCAATCTCTTTTTTTTTTTTTTTGCCAATCTTTTTTTTTTTTTTTTTGCCAGTTGTGGGGCCTGAGCTCTGGGCCTGGTGCTGTCCCTCAGCTCTTCAGCTCAAGGCTAGCACTCTACCACTTGAGCCATAGCACCACTTCCAGATTTTTCTGCTTATGTGGTGCTGAGGAAGTGAATCCAGGACCTCATGCATGCAAGGCAAGCACTCTACCACTGAGCCACCTTTCCTGCCCCTCTAACTGTTCTTAACCTCTTTGTTCCCTGATAGCATCTAGCCTGGCTATCTCTCAGCCTCACAAATACTATATAAAGGTAGATATGACTAAAAATCTTGTCTGAATACGACTACACACAAAGGCAAAGTGGGGAGTAAATATATAGTGACAGTATCTTTTTCCCACAGTACCAGGGGGTTTGAACCCAGGGCCTTACACTGTCAACTTGGCTTGCTGGCTCATGGCTGGTGCTCGCTTGAGCCACATCTCCAATCTGGCGTTCTGTAGTGAACTGGAGATGGAGGCTCTTAGACCTTCCTGCCCTGGTTTGCTTGAAATAGACATGAGCCAATGGCACCTGGCTGTGACTATATATTTTTAAATAAAAAATTAGAATATCATCTGTTACAGGATTTGGAGTAAGGAATACAATCTGGTATGTAAGATAACTGGACTTAAATCAGTCAGCAATGGCACATGCCTATAATCCTAGTTACCTAGAAGGTTCAGATCTGGAGGACTAACTGCAGGTTTTTGCTGTTGTTGTTGGTCATGGGGCCTGAACTCCGGGCCTGGGCTCTGTCCCTCAGCTCTTAAGCTCAAGGCTAGTGCTGTACCACTTGAGCCACAGTGCCATTTCTGGCTTTTTCTGCTTATGTGGTACTGAGGAATCAAACCCAGGGCCTCATATATGCAAGGCACGCACTCTACCACTGAGCTACCTTCCCAGCCCAGGACTGGCTGCAGTTTGAAGCCAGAAAACTCTGTGAGACTTTATCTCCAAAATTACCTGCACAAAGCTATGTTGGAGGAGTGGCTAAAGTGGTAGAATGCCAGCTGAGCAAGCAAACTGAGAAAGCATGATGTTCTGAGTTCAAGTCCATTGGACTTAGCTAGACATGATGGCACATACCCAGGATCCTAGCACTAGAGGCTGAAGTAAAATTATGAGGTGTTTCCCTCCCAACCCCCAATACTGGGGATTAAGCACAGGGCCTTACACTTGCTAGGTAAGCATTCTACCACATGAGCTATGTCCCCAGCCTTTTGTTTTTATAATTGGTTTTGAAATAGGGTGTAACTAACTTTCCTGATACTGTTTTAATTCTCAATTCTCCTGCCTCTGTCTTCCAAGTAGCTGTGATTACAGGCATGTACCACTACACTAAGCTAAAATTTGGGGCAGCCTAGGCTACAGACTGTTAAAACTGTTAAAGACTGTTAAAAAAAAAAATAAGCAAAAGCATTGGATTTAGGATGAGAATAAAAAAAATATATTGACACCTGGCTCCACCAGGTGCCAGGGTCTCATACCTGTAATTCTAGCTACTCAGGAGGCTGAAAATGGAGGCTCATGATTTAAAACTGAGCAAGAGACTTTATCTTCTATTAATTAAGTAGCAAAAAAGCTTTGCTGGAAGTATGGTTAGGTAGTAGAGTACCAGCCACGAGAGAAAAAGCTGAACTATAGCACAGTGCACTGAATTTAAGCTGCACCAACATAAACAAAAGAAAACTAGATCTGCCTGAGAAAATCTAAGCTCTGTGACCATCCCCAGACAAAGACATTAGTGGTCCTTTGGTCTCCTGGAACCAATTTCCACAGATACCAAAGTCTGCAGATGCTCCTGTTCATATATACAGTTCATGTATTTGAATAAAACCTATGCACATTCTCTCTTAATTTAAAATCATCTCAGTAATATTTGTTATACATAATACAATATGAATGCTAGGTAAATAGTTATACTCCACTGTCCTAGAGAATATCAAGACAAAAAATGTACAGATTCAATTTTTTATCCCTAAATATTTTCAATTGACAGTCGGTTCAATCTCTGGATATAGAATCGACAGAGACAGGGCTGAGAAGCATGTGCTTAACTCTGAGCAGTCTTCAACTTTCCACTCAGGGTTGGGGCCTGTCCCTGACCTCTCAAGCTCAGGCAGCAGGGTCTTGCAGAGGGGGGTGGAAGTACTGGCTGTTCTGGGAAGGGCTGTAGGGCAGGACTGGGAAGAGGAACCTGTTTCTGCAGGTTTATTTTGTCCTGTAGCAGAGTGCTGCCCTTTTCTTGGAGGGCAGCAAGGTCTTCTCCATGTCGCTGAGCTGCCACTGTCAGATCCCGCTGAGCCTCCTGGAGTTGAGTGTGTAGCATACTAACAGTTTCCTGCAGAGGGGAAACAATAGTAAGTGCAGGAATGATTGCCCTGGGGGGAGTAAGTCTTGAAATCTACTTGTATAAATGTCTTTCTGTTGGGTTGGGCAAGAGCTATGGTAGGAACCAGCAATCCAGTTGTTTCTACCTCAACTTCTCACTTCGTATCCCTCTGTCCTCATAAAGTATCTAGGCTTATCCAGGCTTCTTTGTAATAATCCCTCATCCAGACCACCAGACCACTGCAACAGCCTATCCATATCCTACCACTAGATGATTTGATTCCTACTCACACAGTCAGTCTGCCCTCCTCTGCTCCCCTCTCATCAACTGAGGGAATGTATTAAATATATATGGAAGGCTTAGTGGTTGAGTGTTTGTCTTGGCATGCAGAAGGCCTTGGATTTGCTCTCTAGTATTACAAAGAAGTGTGTGAAACTGGCCAACAGTGGCTCATGCCTATGATCCTAGCTTCTCAGGAGGCTGAGATTGGAGGACAACAGTTTAAGGAAAGCCCAAGTATAAAAGTTAATTAGACCATGTAATCGTAACCCCTCTGTACAGTATTTTCACAATAAAAAATAAATAAAAAATTTAAAAAAAGTTAATTAGAGCCAGGTGCCAGTGGCTCACACCTGTAATCCTAGCCACTCAAGAGGCTGAGATCTGAGCACCATGGTTCAAAGACAGCCTGGACAGGAAAATCCATGAGATTTTTATCTCCTATTAACACCAGAAATGATGCTGTGGCTCAAGTGGTAGAGCACTAGCCTTGAGCTGAAGAGCTCAGAGACCACCTCCCAGGCACAGAGCTCAAGATGCATAACCAACCAACCCAAAAAAAAAAAAAAAGTGAAATGGGAATGTGGCTTAGTGGTGCTGTGGCTCAAGTGGTAGAGTGCTAGCCTTGAGCAAAAGAAGATCAGGGACAGTGCCCAGGCCCTGAGTTCAAAAAAGTTAACTAGAGTCAGGCACTGGTAGTCAAGCCTGTAATCTCAGGATGATGGGATCTGAGGATTGTGTTCAAAGCCAGCTGCGGCAGAAAAGGCTAAAAGACTCTTTATTTCCAATTAACTAACCAAAATAACTAGAAATAGAGGTGTGGCTCAAGTGGTAGAGCACTAGCCTTGAGCACAAAGGCTCAGGGACAGTATCCATGCTCTGAATTCAAATCCTAGAACTGGTACAAGCACATGCCCGCATGTGCAGACACTCCTCTTGGCCCCCCCCCCAAAATAACAAAAAACAAAACAAAACAAAGCCCCACCTCACTAGACTTCATCTTTAAAATAACCAGTGGCTGAAGGTGTGACCCAAGTGGTAGTACACCAGCCTAATAGATGAGGACTTGAATTCAAATCCCAGTACCATAAAAAAAAGGCCTATCTCATCTCTGCTCTTAAAATGCCATCCCTCAGTTTCTCACTGACCTTAGAACAAAATCTAAACTACTATGACTGAGGAACGACTCCTACCTACCTCTCCACTTGCCCCTGAGCTCATCACTCATGCTTTATTTCCCCTTTTAATATAATTTTTATTATTAAGGTGTTGTACAGAGGGGTTACCATTTCATAAATCAGGTAATGAGTACATTTCTTTTTTGGATAATTGTCACCCCTTCCTTTGCTTTCCTCCACTTTCCCCTTTACATCCCTGCCCAGAAGTCATTCCTGTTTTTTGTCCTTCAACTTCTAGTGCCCTAGACCGTCTGTACCAGGACCCTTGTAACAGCTAATCTGGCTGAAGTGTTCTTCAAACCACTGGCTATTTCTCCCTCCCTACCCATGTGTGCACACACACATGCCTGTTACTAGAGATTGAACCCAGGCTCTCAAGCACACTGAGCAAGTGCTCTACTGCTGAGCAACATTCCAGCTTTTTTTTTTTGCCATTCCTGGGGCTTGAACTCAGGGCCTGTGTGCTGTCCTTGAGCTTCTTTTGCTCAAGGCTGGTGTTCTGTCACTTGAGCCACAGCTCTACTTCTGGCTTTTTGTGTTTATGTGGTACTGAGGAATCAAACCCAGAGATTTATGTATGCTAAGCCACTCTCAACCCCCCTCCCTCCCTCCTTTTTTTTTTTTTTTGGTCCAGTCGTGGGGCCTGAACTCTGGGCCTGGGTGCTGTCCCTCAGCTCTTCAGCTCAAGGCTACCACCTGAGCCACAGCACCACTTCCGGCTTTTTTCTTTTTGCTTATGTGGTGCTGAGGAATCGAACCCAGGGCCTCAGGCATGCAAGGCAAGCGCTCTACCACTGAGCCACCTTCCCAGCCCCCCCTCCTTTTTTTTTTTTTTTTTTTAATATGAGGCAGGGTCTGGCCTTGATTTTGCCAGATTTCTTTTTTCAAGGTTTTATTGAGTCATAATCATTACCATACAATTCACTCAGACATAGTGTACAATTCAATATTTTTTAGTATATCCAGAGTTTTACAACTATCACTATAATCAGTTTTAAACATTTTCATTACCCCCCAGAAGCACCCCATTAACAGATATTCCCCATTCCACATCTCATCTCCCAATCACTAATCTACTTTGTTTCTAAAGATTTGCTTATTGTGGCATTTCATATAAATAGAATATAATATACCTCATGTGTCTGGATGCTCTCCCTCGGCATAGTTTTTTCTTTATTTTTTTTTTTTTTGTCGATTGTGGGGCTTGAACTCAGGGCCTGGGCATTGTCCTTGAGCTCCTTTGCTCAAGGCTAGTTCTAACACTTTGAGCCACAGTGCCACTTCTGGTTTTTGAGTGGTTCATTGGAGATCAGAGTCTCATGGGGACTTTTCTACCTGGGCTGGCTTTGTATTGTGATCCTCAGATATCAGCTACCTGAGTAGCTAGAATTATAGGCATGAACCACCAGCATCCAGCTAGGCATATGGTTTTCTAAGTTTGCATGTATTGTGCCATGGCCTTGGCTTCTTTTGAACTTCAAGTTGCAGTTAGCATATCACTGTCTCAGTGAGGTCTTCCCTGACCATTTTGTCTAATCACTCTCAATTATGTCATCTTACTTATTTCCAATTTACTAAAATCTATCTCTTTTACTTTTGGATCTGCTCATTTTGTGTCTGTTTCTGCCATCAGAATACAAGTTGAAGACAAAGATTGTGTCCATCCTGTTGCCTACTGGGTCACACCTTTATGCACCTGTCATGCATCAGCACCAGGAACAAGGCATAGTGCTTACAAAGTACCAAAGGATTACTCATTGTCGAATGGGTGAGTGGACACCCAGAATTATCTTCCATACCTGTTCCTTTAACTTCTGAACCTTCATGTCTTGCCTTAGTCGTTCCAGCTGTTGGCTGGCATCTGCAAGTTCCTTCTGGGTCTGCAGCAGTGTCTCCAAGAGGGACACTCTCTCCTTCTCTGTTTCCAGCTGCATCTGTGGAGGACAGAAAGGCAAGTGCTTGTTGGCTCCAAGTTATCATGCTCATCCAGGAGGCTATATGCACATCCTAGCTGCTCCAGGGCTCTTCCAGCAAACAAGAGTGGAGGCTGAAGGAAAAGAAAAGTCTGAGCACAATGACTCAGAACCAGGAAGTACAAAGATTGCCACTGGTTTGCAGGCTGAGAGGATGTGGTAAATGTAAACCCTCCCTCAGGAAGTATGACATACTGCCTGCCTTTCAGTTAATAGACCACCCTTCTACTGGTGGCAAAGTGAATGGCATCCTTCTGGAAGTAGAAAGGGAAGTGGACAAAGATTGAGGGATTACAGAAAGATGTGCAATTCCAATCTTAGCTTCCCACCTGGCAGAGGGCATTGTCTGCCTGGGTCCGTTCCTCTTCCCTCTGTGCTTGGATAGCCTCGGTTTCTGTCTGCTGCTCCCTGAGCTTCATTTCCAGCTCCATTCTTTCCTTTTTTAGGTTCTCCATAGCCTTATCCAGCTCCTGCTGGTGCAGAGAACGTTCTTTCTTCTGGCCATATAAAGGAAAGGATACTGTTAGAAACCAATGAGTGAGAAGGGGGAAGCAGAACTGGTTTGGAATCTCTACTACTCAATATGGGTAAATGTACTTTCTAAAGTTCCTCATATAAGTTATGAATGTTATTTTCAAAGCTACCACCTCAGCAGGGTGCTAATGGCTCACACCTATAATTCTAGCTATTCAGGAGACTGAGATCTTAGGATCATGATTCAAAGCTAGCCCAGGCAGTAGAGTCTAAGAGACTTTTTTTTTTTTTGGTGCCAGTCCTAGGGCTTAAACTCAGGGCCTGGGCACTGTTCCTGAGCTTCTTTTGCTCAAGGGCAGCACTCTACCACTTGAGCCATAGCCTACCATGAGACTCTTATCTCCAATTAATCACCAAAAAGCCAGAAGTGGAGCTGTGGCTCAAGAGATAGAGCATTGGGCTGGGAAGGTAGCTTAATGGTGGAGTGCTTGCCTTGCATGCATGAGGCTCTGGGTTCAATTCCTCAGCACCACATAAGCGGAAAAAGCCAGAAGTGGTGCTGTGGCTCAAGTGGTGGAGCGTTAAACTTGAGCTAAAGAGCTGAGGGACAGCACCCAGAGCCACAGTTCAGGCCCCATGACCAAAGAGAGACAGACAGAGAGAGAGAGAGAGAGAGAGAGAGACAGACAGACAGACAGACAGACAGACAGAGACAGAGAGAGACAGAGAGAATCTACTTTGAGCAGAAAAAGCTCAGGGACAGTATCTAGGCTCTAAGTTCAAGCCTTAGTACTGGCATGAAATATAATAGGCAGCTATTAAAGGAATAAGGGCAGGGAATGTGGCTTAGTGGTAGAGTACTTGCCTAGCATACATGAAGCCCTGAGTTCAAATCCTCAGTACCACATAAACAGAAAAAAGTGACACTGTGGCTCAAGTGGTAGAGTGCTAGCCTTGAGCAAAAGAAGCTCAAGGAGAGTGCCTAGGCCCTGAGTTCAAGCTCCAGGACTGGCAAAATAAATAAATAAATAAAGGAATAAAACAGAAGCTAAGCAACCATTTGGAAGATGTAGACATATAGACATAGCAGACATGGTTAGGAGTTTGTTTTTTTTCTGAAGGTTTCTCTCTCACTTGGCTCTTTTGCTCATGACTAATAGTCCACCACTTGATCTATGTCTCCTCTACTTCTGGCTTTTTACTGGTTAACTGCAGATAAAAATTGCATGGATTTGCCTTCCCAGGCTAATCCAAACTGTGATTCCCAGATTGCAGCTTCTTAAGTAGCTAGGACTATAGGAGTGAGCCATTATGTTTTTTGTGGGTTTTGTTTTTGTTTTTGGTCAGGACTTTGGGCATGCTAAGTACACATTCTACCAGTGAGCTACATTCTGAGACCAGCAGTCTGAGCTCTGAATCCCTAGTTTACCACTTACTGGCCATATACCCGAGTGATTCCTCTAATCATGTATCTCCTTATTATATCAATAAAGTATTCAGCACAGTGGATGGCATGCAGAAGTGCTTAATAAATGTCAAATATCATTATTATTCAGGGGACACAGGCACCAGGTGGAAGGCTAGGAAATATGTTTTGTAAGAGGGGGAGGGAAGCAGTGGGAATATGGTGGAGGAGGTGTGAAGTTGTTCAGTTTACTGTATTCATGTATAAAAATATCACAGTGAAGGCTGGAAAGGTGTCTCAATGGTAGAGTGCTTGCCCTGCATGTATGAGGTCCTGGGTTCAATTCCTCAGCACCACATAAACAGAAAAGGCCAGGAGTGGTGCTGTGGCTCAAGTGGTATAGCACTAGCCTTGAGCTTAAGAGCTGAGGGACAGAGAGCCTAGGCCCAGACTTCAGGCCCCATGACCGACCCCCCCCCCCAAAAAAAATCACAATGAGGTCCTGGAGGCAAGACTCAGTGGTAAAGTACCTATGTAGCCATCACAAGGCACAGAGTTCACACTCTAGTACGTAGCAAACAAAATGCAACAAAACCCCCTCACATTATGAATATGTGTTAACTCAGAATATTTTAAGAAGTTATAAACTTGCAGTCTACACTTTCAATCAGCAGATATACAGAAAATATTCTGATTGTCATTCAGTCAGACAACCAGAAGCCAAGGAATTTTCTGAATAAAAGGAAAAGAAAAGAGAAAGAAAAAAAAGGTCCTCCTATGACTGATTTTATGCTCAGTGAAACTATCTTTCAGAATAAAAGTAGCCGGGTACTACAATATATTTCTGTAATCTGGGCTACTCAGAAGGTTGAGGCAGGATTAAAAGTATGAAGCCAATGTTGGCAAAATTGGGAGACTGAAAAGAAGTAAAATAAAAACATTCTGGACAGCTAAGTGCTAAAAGACCACCAAAGGAAATCCCATTTCGAGAAGAAGAAAAAGGATAGGTGCAGTGGCTCACGCCTGTAATCCTAACTACTCAGGAGGCTGAGATCTGAGGATCACAGTTAAAAGCCAACCCAGGCAGGAAAGGCTGTGAAACGGTAATCTCCAATTAACCACCAGAAAACCAGAAGTGGCGCTGTGGCTCAAGTGGTAGAGTGCTTGCATTGAGCTGAAGAGCTTAGGGACAGGCTGAGTTCAAGCTCCATAACCACAAAAAAAAAAAAAAAAAAAAGAAGAAAAATAAATCTAAATAGAAAGTCTAATATGCATAAAAGAATATTGACCAAAAAATGTATAATCTGGAGCCAGTTTAATAGCTATCAATCCCATTCTTCACTTTAAGCCTCGCAACCAACAAAAAATAAAACCATAATAATAATGGTTAACTAACCAGAAACCTTTTTTTTTTTTTTTTGGTCAGTTGTGGGGCTTAAACTCTCAGCCTGGGTGCTGTCCCAGCTCAAGGCAAGCACTCTACCACTTGAGCCACAGAGCCACTTCTGGTTTTCTGGTAGTTAATTGGAGATAACAGTTTCTCAGACTTTCCTGCCCGGTTGGCTTTGGACCACGATGCTCAGATCTCAGCCTCCTGAGTAGCTAGGATTACAGGCGTGAGACACTGGTGCCCAGCCAGAACCTATTATAATAGGTCATAGGCATTGTTTCTGAGCTCAAGGCTAGCAGTCTATCACTTTGAGCCACAGCTCCACTTCTGGTCTTCTGGTAGGTAACTGGAGGTAAGAATCTCATGGACTTTCCTGGCCTGGCTAGCTTCAAACCACAATGCTCAAATCTAAGCCCCTAGTAGCTAGGATTATAGGTATGAGCTATAGTATCCAGCCATAAACTATTCTTGATCTTTATTCATATATTAACTCCTTTAATAGCTAAAAATTAGATTTTACACTTTGGTAACTAAATTTTCCTCTTTTAAGTTGTAATCATGGACCAAGAGTCAGCTGATGGCACAATCACAAAAGGAAAGCCATGTCTGCTCCTCCCTACCAGCCACTTCAACGACCTACCCATTTCTCTATGAGTTGATTTACTTCTTCCTCGTGGGCCATCTTCTGCTGCTCTAGGGCAGTCTGTCCCTCTTGCTCAACCTGGGCCAGTTGTTGGGCAGCTGCATCCCGTTCCTGCTCTGCCCGGCATCTTTCTGTGTCCAGTTCCAGCTTCAGGCACTTTACCTCCCCTAGGAAACCAGGAAGAAGCAGCTTTATGAATCTCTGCCCAGCTGCTTTTACCTCATGATATTCTCTTGCTTTCCACTCTACTCTTCTAACCTCAGGAGCAACTCCCATCTTGGCAGACCCGAGCCTGGCTAGAGAAGGCCTCCCAATATCTTGCTGCCTGGCTCTCGACATCTCCATGGAATGGTCCCATTCCAGCTGGACTCTTACCTTGGATTACTTCCTTAGCTTGAGTGATAGTTTGAATCTGGACCTCCAGCTGCCCTCTGGTGACCTCTATTACAGAAATCTGTTGTTGAGCCTCAAACAGACTGCTCTCCAGTTGCTCCTTGGCTGAGCTGTGAGATTCAGTTGAGAAGAGCTCTTACCCATCAAGTCCCTGACCTTTTCTTAAGAGGAATTGGGTTCTAAAAAATGGTTTCCTAGAGAATTTAGGAGGAGGGCAATTATAAATTCATGATACGAAGTTCATATATGGAGCTGAGAAGGTGGCTCAGTGATAGAGTGCTTGCCTCGCATGCATGAGGCCCTAGTTGGATTCCTCAGCACCACATAAACAGAAAAAGCCGGAAGTGGCTCTGTGGCTCAAGCGGTAGCCTTGAGCTGAAGAGCTGAGGGACAGCGCCCAGGCCCAGAGTTCAAGACCCATGACTGACCAAAAAAAAGAAAGAAAAGAGAATTCATATATTTAGGGCAGGGAGCTTGGCTATGCTTTGCCTTGCAAAGCTCTCTGTGCCTGGCTGACCTAGGTCTGGCCCCTACCTAAGTCCCAGAAGTTGTTCAGTTAGATCCTGGCGGTCTCGTTCCACAGCCTGCAGCCGCACCTCTAGAGCTGCTCTCTCCCGTACTAGGGCCTCCTTCTCTTGGACTGCCCTGGTAAGTATTTCTTCCTGTCGCTTTGCCTCCTGATGAAGCTGCTCCAGCTGAGCTGTGGCTGTTTCCTGTTGGTGATGTGCCTGAAGGGAAAATTAGTGAGAGGCAGAGAACAGGCAGAATTGTAGGGCTGCTACTACCAGGTGAGGGCCATCGGCTCTTCGAAGATTCTGAACCCAACACTATAAGCTTGCGCAATGCTCACTCAATAAGGAATAGTATATATTAATCTCCTTTATCAACTCAGAGAGCTGATAACTTAGGAAGCATACCCTTCATTGGACAAGAATGACCCTGTGCTAGGGATAGCAGTAGACCTGCCCCAAGGAGCTCTCAGTTTTTTGTTTTTTTCCTGCCAGTCCTGGGGCTTGAACTCAGGACTAGGCACTGTCCTTGAGCTTCTTTTGCACTCTACCACTTGAGCCCAGTGCCACTTTTGCCTTTTTCTGTTTATGTGGTACTGAAGAATCGAACCCAGGGCTTCATGCATGCTAGGCAAGCACTCTACCACTAAGCTACATTCCCAGCCCCGAGCTCTCAGTTTTGTTTTATTTTATTTTTGGTCCAGTCGTAGGCCTGAACTCTTTGGGCCTGGGTGCTGTCCCTCAGCTCTTCACCTCAAGGCTAGCATTCTACCACTTGAGCCACAGTGCTACTTCTGGCTTTTTTTTTTTTTTCTTCTGTTTATGTGGTGCTGAGGAATCGAACCCAGGGCCTCATGCATGCAAGGCAAGTGCTCTACCACTGAGCCACCTTCCCATTCCAAGCTCTCAGTTTTAATACACATACAAAATGCCAGGGAGAAAGTGATCAGTGTCTTGAGAAAGACCCTGAAGTGAGATTGCATAAAATTACTGAAGCAATGAGAGGACCTCATTTGGTACCAGAAGAAGGTGATGTTTCAGCTAGATCATTTATTGATTCAGTAAAAAAATGTAGAGCCCTGTCTTGTGTTTGGCACAGAGTTAAAAGCTAGAGGAATGAAACAAGTAAGACACACTTGTCTTCAAGGCCATGCAAACAAATAATTATAGTATGATGTGAGTTGTGGTTGAAAAGAAAATGTGTAGAGAGCATATAGGAGAAGCATGTAATTTAAACTGTGGGAGAGCCAGGCGCCAGTGGCTCACGCCTATAATCCTAGCTACTCAGGAGGCTGAGATCTGAGGATCATGGTTTGAAGCCAGCCCAGGCAGGAAAATCCATGAGACTCATCTCCAATAAACCACTCGAAAACCAAAGTGGCGCTGTGGCTCGAGCGGTAGAACGCTTGCCTTGAGCTGAAGATCTGAGGGACAGTGCCCAAAATAAATAAATAAATAAACAAACTGTGGGAGACAGTAGGAAGTAGTGGGGAATCAACAAGGAATTCCTATAGAAACTTCTTAAAACAATGGAAAGATAAGCCATAATAACAGCAGTCTGATCAAGGAAGTAAGACTTTTTCACTCTAAATCCTTCCTGTAGTGTTTTAATTTCTTAAGAGGAGCATGAATGAATCCTTAATGTGATGGTGTCAGTTTTATCGTCTTACCTCACTTAATTTTTCTTTGAGTTCTTTCTTTTCTTCTTGGATGCATTTGAGTTCTGCCTGTAGTTCAGCCCCTGCCCCTTCTGCTTTCTGCAGCTGGACCTCCAGGTGAGTCTTCTTTTCCCATAGGGCTTCCCTAGTTCTCTCTGCCTCTTTGAGGTCCACCTGCAAAGAGCTTCTTGCCTGTTCTGCTGCCTCCACTCTGCTGCACACAGACTGGTTGCTCTGCTCCAACTACTGGCCAAAAAGGGAAGAGGGTATGAAGTATCAAAGACAAGCGGTTATAGTTTCCCTAGTCTCAAGTGGTGAGATTGGAATCCAAGTGACATATGAATCAATCCTCCAGAGATGAACACAGGAGTGCTTAGAGAGAAAAATCCATTCAGTTTTTTTTTTTTTTTTGTCGGTCGTGGGGGCTTGAACTCTGGGCCTGGGCGCTGTCCCTCAGCTCTTCAGCTCAAGGCAAGCGCTCTACCACTTGAGCTACAGCGCCACTTCCGGTTTTCTGGTGGTTTATTGGAGATAGGAGTCTCACAGTCTCTCCTGCCCGGGCTGGCTTTGAACCGCAATCCTTAGATCTCAGCCTCCTGAGTAGCTAGGATTACAGGCGTGAGCCACCAGCGCCGGCTAGAAAAATCCATTCAGTTTAACTGTATGTTATCAGTGCTAGATTGGCTAGATGCTGAGGAAAGAGATTTAAAAAGGTAAAATCCAGCTGTGGTTCAAAAGGATAGGGATGCAAAAACATCCCTTATTAAAATTATAGGATAAAATTTAGGATAAAATTTATAACATATTGAGATTTGGAGGAACTTTGGCTCTTCAGCAGATTCTATTCTGGTATCTCAAGTTAACAGGATTAAAAACTATATTTTTCTTTCAGAGTTGGAGCCCCTTCTTAGTCCTAATGATTTACTCTTAAGATCAAAGGTAGTTCTGCTGGGGGTATGGGAAAGAAATATTTCAAGTGGCTAAATCTAATCCTCTGCATTCCTCAGCACCCTACCCTATTATAAGCATCAACTCTGTCTCTGGTTTATCCTAAGTTGGCCCAGCCCTACCCTGAAATCAGACAAATCTTGCTCACCTGGAGAAGCTGCTGGTTTAGCCTAAGTTTATCTAAGGCCAAAGCCTCATTTAAGGCACTGAGCTTGATAGCAGCAGCCCGAAGATCAGCTACCTCTGCCTTCAGGCCGTTCTCAGAACTTGATAGCTCAGCAATGGATTGTTCTGCCTAAAAACAAAGAGTGTTAAGGAGTTTCCTATTTCCAGTTTTCCTCAAACATTCCCAATACCTGCCTCCCTTTTTTTTTTTTTTTTTTGGGGGGGGGGGGGTCAGTCATGGGGCTTGAACTCTGGACCTGGGCTCTGTCCCTCAGCTCTTCAGCTCAAGGCTGGTGCTCTACCACTTGAGCCACAGAGCCACTTCTGGTTTTCTGGTGGTTAATTGGAGATAAGTTTCACAGACTTTCCTGCGGGGGCTGGCTTTGAACCATGATCCTCTCAGATCTCAGCCTCCTGAATAGCTAGGATTACAGGTGTGAACCACTGGTGCCCTGCTACCCCCTTTTCTTAAAGAAAGATATTATCACTTCATCTCTTCCCCCTTATGTTCTTATTAAATTTTTCCTTTCATTCATTCATTTATTCATTTTTTTTTAGGAATAAGGAGCTCTTAGTATAGAAACACAGCTATAATCATGCATAAGTACAGTTGTAATGATGCCATAGAAAATGTAAACACAAAGTGCTCTAGGAGGTCAAAGATGGCATTGAATCAGTTTGGGAGAGTCAAGAATGATCAACGGAGGAGTTGACACTTAAGTTGGGTATTAAGAGATGAACAAATCATAGTTATTATGCAGGGAGGGAAGAAGCAGTCCAGGTAAGGAGAAAAGCATATGCAAAGTATTGGGAGTTAGGAAGAAACTTAATTGTGAATACAAATATGCTGTGGCAGAGCAAAGGATACAAGGAGTTAGGATAGAGTTTTGGCATGGATGGAGAAATCAGAAATAGTTTGACAGGTAGAGAAGGGCTTTGATTGTGACCCTGGAGTTGGAAAGCCATTGGATATTTTTAAGAAACTGACATAATCGGATTTAAACTTCAGAGAACTCATCTAAGTCCAATGTAGAGGATATATCAGGAGGGAGAGGATCCAGAATCAGAGTACTCACTGAAGAAGGAAGACATAAAGGTGATGACTTAAAGGGCGGAGAATCAAACAGGCTTCATGCTCCTTTCCTGGAAACACAACTTTCTAAATTGCACACCCAGAAAGTGAGGAGGAAGAAATCTACATACCCTGGTCAGTGCTGCAGTCACTTCTGCTTGCTCTTGCCTCAGTAAGTCTCCTTCCAGGCGACTGGACTGCAGGGCTTCGCGAAGAGTGATCAGTTCACTGAGTGACTCTGACTGCTTGGCTTCTAGGCCCATCAACATCTCCTGACTAAGAAGGAAGGAGAAGGGCTGAGAATGTGGCTTAGTGGTAGAGTGCTTGCCTAGCATGCATGAAGCCCTGGGTTCGATTCCTCAGTACCATATAAACAAAAAAAGCCTGAAATGGCACTGTGGCTTAAGTGGTAGACTACTAGCCTTGAGCAAAAGGAGCTCAGGAACAGTACCCAGGCTCAAAGTTTGATCCCTAGACTGGAAAAAAAACAAGAAGGAGAGAAGAGGCTACAGAGCCAAACCCTAACAGGTAACAAGAATTAATCACCTTACTGATGCAACAGAATGAGGATAGTCTTTAAAAGAGCCTAAGGGGAAAAAAAATCCAAGACATGTCAAGTGAAAAAAGCAAGGTTCAGGACAGTATATATAATGGACTGCCTTTTGTGAAAAAAAAAGAAGAAAAATCTGCTTATGTTTGAGTGAAGTAGCACTGAAAATTAAAGAGGAGAGGAAAAAAAAAATCCAAGACATGTCAAGTGAAAAAAGCAAGGGTCAGGACAGTATATATAATGGACTGCCTTTTGTGAAAAAAAGGAGAAAAATCTGCTTATGTTTGAATGAAGTAGCACTGAAAATTAAAGAGATTAATTTTAGTTACCTATAGGAGGGAGAGAATGAGATAGAAAAGGCAAAAATGTGAGACTTCTCTGTGTATAACTTTTTAGATTATTTAATACTTTAAATATTAACCTAGGTGCTGGTGGCTCACCCCTATGATCCTAGCTACTTGGAATCTGAGGATTGCAGTTCAAAGCCAGCCTGAGCAGGAAAGTCCTTGAGACTCATCTCCAATAAACTTCCCCCAAAAGAGCCAAAAGTAGAGCTCTAGCTCAAGTGGTAGAGTCCTAACCTTGAGCAAAAGAAGCTCAGGGACAGAGCCCAGGCCTTGAATTCATGCCCCATAACTAGCACCTCCCCTCAAAATTAAACATATAATTAAGCCAAGTGTGTTACATTAAATTATCTATCCTTCCTCTGATACAGGGGTGATCTAACACAAGGCATGATCTTTATGGCAATTCTTCAAACTTTCACTTTCAGAAACTGCAGGTACAAGGAAAGGAGGAGTATACACCAAGGGTAAAGAAATAGCTCTGCTATCAGTTATTTATTTATTTGCCAGTCCTGGAGCTTGAACTCAGGGCCTGGACCCTGTCCCTTAGCTACTTTTGCTCCAGGATAGCATTCTTCCACCTCAGCCACAGTGCCACTTCTGGCCTTTTCTGTTTATGTGGTACTGAGGAATTGAACCCAGGGCATCATGCATGCTAAGCAAGCACTCTACCACTAAGCCACATTCTCAGCCCCTCTGCTATCAGTTATTCAAGACCTACCATATAATAGGATCTATGCTGGCACAGAAGAAAAAAAAACCTGCTCTAATCTTTCTACCAACCCTTCAGCACTATCTGAAGAGCCAGAATCACTATTTTGTCTATCAAATAAGAGAGATTTGCAGATCAGTGGAGGCCACTGACTGAAATACTCTTTTATTTTTTGTGTGTGCCAGTCTTGGAGATTGAACTTAAGATCTGGGAGCTGTCCTTACGCTTCTTTTGCTCAAGGCTAGCACTCTATCACTTGAGCCATAGTGCTACTTCCAGCTGAAGAGAAGCATCTCATGATCTTTTCTGCCAGGACTGACTTCTAACAGTAATCCTCAGATCTCAGTCTCCTCAGTAGCTAGGATTACAACAGATGTGAGCCACCACCACTGCCTGGCTTCCTCTTCCTTTTTGTTTTACTCTTCCTTTACATTTTTGCTCCCAGCCAGTACTCTATTACTTGAGCCAGGCTTCCAGTCTGACATTTTGCTGATTAAATGCAGATAGAGTCTAACAGACTTGTTTGCCAATGCTAGCTTTGAACCAAGATCTTTCAGGTCTCAGTCTCTTGAGTAGTTAGGATTACAGAAGTGAGATGCCAGCACCTTGCTTAGACTTTCCTTTGCTTTTTGTGTGCTATCCCAGGGGCTTGAACTCAGGGACTAGGCAGTGTCCCTAAGCTTTGTGCCCTAGGTTAATGCCCTACTACTTGACCGTAGCTCCACCTCTGGCTTGTTTGGTGCTTAATTAGAGATAAGAATCTCATGGACTTTCCTGCCTGGGCTGGCTTCAAACCATGATCTTCAGATCTCAGCCTCCTGAGTAGCTAGGATTACAGGTGTGAGCCACTGGTGCCTGGCTGGACTTTCCTTCTCCTCCTCTTTTTTTTTTTTTTTTTGCTGATCCTGGGTTTGAATTCAGTGCTTAGACGCTACCCCTGAGCCTCTGCTCAAGGTGTGTTCTACCACCTGAGCCACAGTACCACTCCCAACCTTTTCTGAGTAGTTTACTGGAGATTCGAATCTTGCAGACATTCCTGTCCCAGCTGGCTTCAAAGATACTCAGATCTCAACCTCCTGAGTACCTAGGATTATAGGCATGAGCCACCTGTGCCTGGCTTGGACTTTCCTTCTCAATCAATTCATTTCTTATTACCTCACAGTGTATCTTATACTTTAGCAGCCCAGCCTACTCTGAACATGAATAAGCCTTTCTGCTTTTAGTTTGCTATTGTTTGGATTGTTTTGAAATACTCCCATCAATCAAAATAGGCCTAGGTCTACCTCTTCTCCCATAGAGCTTTACATGTTCCTCAATAAATGTTACTTTTTTTTTTTTTTTGGTTGTTGTTGATTGTAGAGCTTGAACTCTGGGCCTGGGCGCTATCCCTCAGCTCTTCAGCTCAAGGCTAGTGCTCTACCACTTGAGTCACAGCATCACTTCCAGTTTTCTGAGTAGTTTATTAGAGATAAGAGTCTCACAGACTTTCCTGCTTGAGCTGGCTTCTATCCACAATCCTCATATCTCAGCCTCCTGAGTAGGTAGGATTATAGGCATGAGCCACTGGTGCTAAATATTGCTTTGAAATTCTATTTAGCTCATACTTCATCTCACATCATGTCACAGTTGTTTACTTATCTGTCTTTTCCATAATACCATAAGGTTCTTGAAATAAGGGCTTGTCTTACTCAATTTTGTATCACTCTTTCTGCAGAAGAAGGAGTAGTAAGCTAATCTGAACCTACTGTGTTTTAAGTTTCTGGGTCTTCACTTCGTAAGAGATGGGAGTCAATTGAGGAGGGTGTGGAACAAAAGGCAGGCTAGACTCCAAGAAGGACAGGTCCCACTTACAGACGATCCCTCTCTCGGACAGCCAGATGCAGCTCCTCCTGCTGCTCCTCCTTTTCTCCCTGGGCAGTGTCACCCTGCAGCTGTAGCTCCATATTGGCAGTTCGAAGTCTCCATGCCTCCTGCTCTAGCACCTCCAGTTGATGCTGTAGCTCTTCTCTGGCCTTCTGCAGAAGCTCTCGCTCCCTGTAAAGAGGAGACTAGAGATGAGCAGATCTCAAGACCCATATTCCTTGCTGGAAGCAGGGTCAAATGAGAGAAATACTTGTTTCCTTTAAACATTCATCTTTCCTTCTGAGCAGGAAACCATTTTTTTATAATGTCAAACCCCAAAACCCAAAAGCTTTTCCTGCAAAAACAAGAGACCAGAAAAGAAAGCAACCTTGTTCAGTCCAAAGTCTCAGAGACAGCAGGAAGAGTCATTCAAAAATGGGTGACAGTGGCTCACAAATGTAATCCTAGCTACTCAGAGGCTGAGATCTGAGGATTGTGGTTAGCAGCCAGCCTGGGCAGGAGTCCGTGAGACTCCTATCTCCAATTAACTACCAAAAAAGCCAGAGGTAGAGCTGTGGCTCAAGTGGTAGAGTATAAGCCTAGAACACAAAAACTCAGAAAGAATGCCCTGGCCATGAGCAAGCCCCAGGGGGCGCGTGTGCAAGTGCGCGCGCGTGCACGCGCGCGCGCGCGCGCGCACACACACACACACACACACACACACACACACACACACTCTCACACACAGAGTGATGGGGATAAATGGCTAAATGAGGAATGAAACCAGATGTGGAAGGCAAGCATGAAAAGCTTATCTGCTCACTTGCTGAGAGAGTCCACCTCTCCCTGAAGGCCAGTAGTCTGCCCTGCCAGAGTGTCCCGCTCCCCAGTGAGTGTCTGCAGCCTTTCTTTCAGGTTTTTTCCCTCTTCTTCCCATTGATCATGCTGCTGCTGCAAGAAGTTCATAGCCTCCTGGCAGCCTGAAAGCTGCTGCTGTAGGTCCTGTGGAGGGAGAACAGCAGAAATGAGATGATTAGCAAAAGGATTAAGAGAAAAGGAAGGATTTCAAAAGCTTGACAGCAGGGCTGGAAAAAAGGACTGAAAGTTGGTGCAACAAGGATTAAGTTGGACCAGAGATGGGGCTAGTTGAGAAGTCAGAGGACCAGAGGTTATTGGGCTTTTGTGACTCTATTCTCTATTCATCATCTTCAAATGCACAGTGGCATAGGGAGATGGACATACACCCAGACTGTCCCAGGATTCTTTTCTTAGTGCTATGCCAAGATCACATGCAAAATAAAGCATGTCACTGGCTGGAGAATGTGCTTCTTATCCTGAAGCACAAGAGGGCAAAAAACACAGGAGGTTCTAATGCTCACTTTGGGGAACTGACTACATATTGCACGAATGGCCAACTAACAGGGGCAGTCCAAGCTAGGGAAGTACCTAGGGCACACACATCATTTTGGCTCCCAGATGTATGGCTGAGTGGCACTGGGGTTCTCACCTGAATAGTCTGGTGTCTCCGAGTCAGCACCAAATGCACCAGAGTGAGAGCCTTGTCTGGGTCCTGGGGGTCAAACTGAGAGGAGAAGCCACTAGAGTCCAACGGCAGGGAGCTCTCATGACCATACTCTTGAGCTATATTGTCTCCTTCCACCAAAGCCTGAAACCCAAAACAGTGTGCTCACTACCCCACTGACCGAAACCTACTGTCCACAGACCCAAAACAGTGTAGTCACCACCCCAATGACTGAGGCCAACTGTCCACAGAGGGGCTTACACTACAGCCTGTAGTAATCCAAGCTTTTCTTTCTCAGGGCCTCTCCTGAGGGTAACAAAAATGGCTGTTCCTACAACTTTCCACCTTTGGTCACTCAAGTCAGGATGAGCAACAGAGCTAGAATTCCTTGTAGAGCAATAACAGATAAAGAAATGTAGGGGGCTGGGAAGTTGGCTAAGTGGTAGAGCGCTTGCCTTTGCATGCCTGAGGCCCTGGGTTCGATTCCTCAGCACCACATAAGCAAAAAGAAAAAAGCCGGAAGTGGCACTGTGGCTCAAGTGGTAGAGCACTAGCCTTGAGCTGAAGAGCTGAGGGACAGCGCCCAGGCCCAGAGTTTAGGCCCCACGACTGGACCCAAAAAAAAAAAAAAAAAGAATGTAGGAAGATAAGACTATTGCTGTGATAAAACCTAGATTTAGCCTATGACCTGAGAACTGCTGCTGGTAATAGGAAAGAGAGCCACCACACAGTAATAGGACAAGAATGCTTACCTACCCCCTAGGGTTGCAACCTTCAAATAACTTCAGAGAACTCATCCTTACATGACCCTAAGCCCAAATTTCAGAATGGCTTGAACTGAGATAGATTCATAGGACATGGAGGCCTGGGGAGAAGAGCAAGGCATTACCCAGTTACCACAACAGAAGGCTTACTAATACCTGAGTTATGTCCTTGATTAAGTGCTGCAAAGACAACTTCTCCGCTTGGACATTCCTACTAAGAGATGCTTCATGTTCCATTAACTCAGCATGATTTGTTTCCTGAACAGGGAACAGAACAAGGCCAATGTCTTAAGAGAAATTCATAGCTAGGCATGGTGGCTTGAGTCTATAATCCTAGCTGCTTGAGAAGAATAGATTAGGGAATATACCTATACTATGAATTCATACTCATATACCTATGGACTACATCTTGTTTAGCCTATTATATAAAATTTAAGTGATACAAATTTAAAAATTTGGCATAAAAATCTCAAAAAGTTAAGGATTGTGACAGTCCATATCTTTAACCCCAGCACTTAGGAGGCTGAGGCAAGAGAATTGCAAATTCAAGACCAGCCTGGGCTATATAGTGAGACCATATCTCAGAAAAACAAAGTAAAACAAAAGTTAACGACTTCAGCTCCCATTCCTAGATGGAAATAATTTACTGAAGTTGAAATGTATAATGCCTACTTGACATCTTATTTCAGGATCCTTCATACTGAGCTCAACTGTCTCCTGCAGAACTGAAAACTAAACATGAGAGTTCTAGAAAACCAGAATTTATGACCCAATCCGCTTGACTAATTTATTATCTAAGTCTTGTAAGTATTTGAATTAGAAAATTCTTGACAAAAAGGAATAAGAAATGTATAGACAATCCAGGGTGGCTCACACTTGTGGCCAAGATCTGAAGATCATAGTGTGAAGTAAGCCTGGGAAGACAAATGCAAGACACTTATTTCCAATTAGCCAACACAAAGCCAGAACTGGAGGCATAGCTCAAGTGGTAGAGTACCAGTCATGAGCAAATATACTGAACAAGAATATGAGACATTGAGTTTAAGCCACAGTACTGGCATAACAAAACAAAACAAACAAACAAAAAAAACTCAGAAAACCTAGCTCCAGAGGACCCAACTTGTATTAGAAGATAAGGGAGGCAGGGCGCCGGTTGTTCACACCTGTAATTCTAGCTACTCAGGAGGCTGAGATCTGAGGATCTCGGTTCAAAGCCAGCCTGGACAGGAGAGACTGTGAGACTATTATCTCCAATTAACCATCAGAAAACCAGAAGTGGTGCTATGGGTCAAGTGGTAGAGTGTTAGCCTTGAGCTGAAGAGCTAAGGGACAGGGCCCAGGCCCAGAGTTAAAGCCCCATGACCGACAGGAAAAAAAAAAAGATTAGTACCACATAAACAGAAAAAGCCAGAAGTGATGCTGTGGCAGCAAAAGAAGCCCAGGGACAATGCCTAGACACTGGGTTCAAGCACCATGACTGTCAAAAAAAAGCAGTTCAGGAGCTACCTAAAATCAGAGACCTAAAAATTTGATTTTAATGTGCAATCTTAGAGAACATCGCAGGCAGTGTTGTCAGGGACCAAATCCTCACTCCTTTACTAAACAGGATGTTCAAATGAACAAATTTAATTTGAGCCCAAACCTACTACCCTTTAACTTCTAGCCACTGATGTTGGTTATTCCCTGAAAAACAATGAACATATCAACTTTCTTTTCCCAAATATCAGACAGTCAAACAATGTGAGGACAGCCATTGTGTCTACCTCAAACCTACCCTAAACCTTGCTATATTCCTCAGTAGCTTCCCTAACGTCTATGTTCTAAAATTTCTTCAGATTTTTAAAAAAAATTTTGGTGGCACTGGGTGTTTAAAGTCAGCACCTCACACTTGCAAGGTAAGTACTCTACCCCTTGATCTACTCAACCAGTATGAAGAGGTTTTAAATTTCTCCGTGTATCTCCTTCCTAGTGGCTTGTTAATTTGATAAGTGTCTCTTTTTTCTTTCTTTTTTTCTCAGAAACTGGGGTTTGAACTCAGGGCTTCAGGCTTGCTAGACAAGCACTATACCATTGAAGCCATACTCCAGTCAGCACCTCTTAACAATGTGCCACCCGGGACTGGGAAGGTGGCTCAGTGGTAGAGCACTTGCCTTGCATGTATGAGGCCCTGGGTTCAATTCCTCAGCACCACATAAGCAAAAAGAAAAAAGCCAGAAGTGGTGCTGTGGCTCAAGTGGTAGAGTCCTAGCCTGAGCTGAAGAGCTGAGGGACAGTGCCTAGGCCCAGAGTTCAGGCCCCACAACCGAACCCCCCCCCCAAAAAAAAAGAATGTGCCACCCCTCACTGAAAATGACACATTACATACATATGCCACTGTAATCTCACCAGGAATATAGTTAGAACAGTGGATAGTTAATATATATTGCATGCATAAATGAGTTAATTAGTTTTAAGATTCAGCCAGAATTAATTTTTCAGTTTTGTAGGAATTCATCAAGGAACATTTAATCTTTTTCCTGCAGCGCCTGTCCATAAAGAGCAAGTGACTTACAAACCCACTCCCAACTCCTTTCCAGAACAAAGTGTATTATACCAGGATCTCCATTGTCTCTCTCAGAGCCTTTACCATCTTTTCATAATCTTCATTTTGTTTCTGAGATTGGGCCAGCAGAGCAGAGAGCTCAGTCACCCTAAAGAAAAGAGCACAGCACTGTCAGCTGGGCAGCCCATGGATGGAGCTGCGATGCAGCACACCCAAGCCCCAACCCAGACACTCCCACTTTCCACTGCAAATCTTCCCAAATCCCTTGGGTACCCCCAGCCCCTTTTGAACTCCTTAAATACATGATGCTATATAGCCTTGAACTGGTGGGGAAAGCCAAAGCCACTCAGACACATGCAGGGATTTACCACATCTCAAGGCTGGAACACGTGTTTGGGGGCCCCAGAGCTGAAGGAAAGCCCTGGCCCAGGCCCTTCCAGGCCTCGCTTGATCTTGAAGTCAAGCATCCTGAAGCCAATAAGAACATCAGAATTGCCACATGGGAATAGCCCCAAGGTCCCTCTAGCCCAGGTTCTGACTCTGATAGGAAAAAAGGAAGGGGGACTTGGAAAAGAGAATAATTAGCCTCCCTGATAATAATCTCAAAGTTCAGCAAAATCACTGATATTTTTATCATGTAGCACAATCAACTAGGACCTTTATGCCTGGTATTATATGGATGGCAAAACAAATATTTCTCAAAGGAGTATCCCCTAGGAGTGTAGATGGTTAAGTTCTGATTTTTTTATATATTGTCTCTAAGAGCCTAAGTCACTGTATATTCATTCATTTAATAATTATATCAATCCAATACACATCAAGTGCCTATGCATGGTAGAGGGCAAAGCACTAGAAATACAAAACTTAGTGAGACATGTCCTTTGTGCAAAACAAAAAGCAAAAGCAAAACAAAATAAAATAGTTCTCCAATTTCTTTTTTTTTGTGGGGGAAGAGGGTAAGGAGGTACAGGACTTGCTAAGTTGCCTGTGCTAGCTTCTTCCTGCCCTAGTTTTTCAAGTGCTGTACCACTAAGTTTAGCTTTACTCCTCTAAGTTATGTATACCATTAATAGGTGAAGATAGAACTTTAGCCATGGGGTATAAGCTTTGTCCAATAGGATTCTGCTTATATTCCTGCCCTTAACATCATTAAAAAAAATTTCATTACAATCCAAAAGTTAAAACAGCAGGCTAACTGTAGTTCAGTAGTAAAACAGTTGCCCTGGTTCTGATTCCCAGCACCACAAAAATAAACAGATCAATAAACCTAACCAAAACCAAAACCAAAACTAAGCAATTAATGAGATTAATGCTGTAACAAGCAGACCAAAAAGACCAGAGTCTGGTAATATAATAGGCTATTAAAGTTATATACTTCAGGACTGGGAAGGTGGCTCAGTGGTAGAGTGCTTGCCTTGCATGCATGAGGCCCTGGGTTAGATTCCTCAGCACCACATAAGCAGAAAAAGCCAGAAGTGGCGCTGTGGCTCAAGTGGTAGAGCCGCTAGCCTTGAGCTGAAGAGCTGAGGGACAGTGCCCAGGCCCAAAGCTCAGGCCCCATGACTGGCAAAAAAAAAAGAAAGAAAAAAGTTATATACTTCAGAGAAGATGTGACATGTCTTCCCTAAAGGACAGGAAGAAACAGAAGGAAGCATTCCAGGTCAAAGTAAGCGTGTATGAGGGCAGAGAAGCATTGAACAGCAAAAGATTTGTTATTGATAGAGGATAGCTACCTGTATAAATTAATAAGAAAGAAATCAAGCTGCAAGGTAGTCTGAGTGCAGAGGTCAGTGACAAGCCCCAAAGTGTGGCAATGGATTTCAAACTAGACTACTCTGATACACTTCCTTCCTCTATCCTGGTGCAAATACTCTTGACATCTCCTCCCTTGCCTATCCCTAACTCTCTAGGGAAGTCAGCTTTCCCTCTAGGAACTCTTCCTAGGACTGCAAGCTATCTCACCGATCCTGAAGCTCAGCCTTCTCCAGATCCCCTTGGCTCCTGAGCTGCATTAACTCCTGGCTCCTCTCATGGGTTTCCTTCTCCAGTTCCTGGATCTTGGCTAGCAGTTGCAGCTGCTGGGCAGGCTCCCTGTCATCCATTTTCCCAGATCCAGTAGATTCTCGAGATTGTGCTCCCATGGTCAAACGCAGACAACATGTCAGCAAGGACCCTGAAAGCCTCGCATGTTCAGCCTTTAGCTCCATCAGATCTCTGAGTACAAGCAAGGAAAAGAGCAGATTCCGACAGGGACCAAAGAAGAGAATTTAGAGAATGGAAACAGAAAGCCTGAGAGGCAAGTCTGGGAAGTCATCTGAATCCAACAAATCTTCCCTATCCCAACCCTGTGTCTGATCCCTTCTTCTACAGCAGCCCACTAACTTAAGTCTAGAATTGGTAGGGGTAAACCTCCTCCCTTCTGTTCCCACACTAACCTGTCAGTAGCTGACTTCATTTCCAGGAAGTGGCGTCTGAAGGTCACCACCTCCCGCCATAGACTGAGAAGGCGACCATGTTCCCCTTTCAGATAGCCCTTGAAGAACTGTGTTCAGAAACCCAGGTCACACTCAAGGGAAGACAATAACCTTGGATTTTCTTTTCTTACTGATATGAGCCCGGGCTTTGAACTTGATACCTGACGCTTTTGCTCATTGACTAGTGCTGTACCAACTGAAGCAATGTCTCCAACCCTTGGATTTTATTTGTTTTGGATTCTTTTTTGGTGGGGTGAGGGCAAATAGGTTGGTACTGGACCTTAAAACTCAGGGCCTCGGGGCTGGGAAGATGGCTCAGTGGTAGAGTGCTTGCCTTGCATGCCTGAGGCCCTGGGTTCGATTCCTTAGCACCACATAAGCAAAAAGAAAAAAGCCGGAGGTGGTGCTGTGGCTTAAGTGGTAGAGCGCTAGCCTTGAGCTGAAGAGCTGAGGGACAGTGCCCAGGCCCAGAGTTCAGGCCCCACTACCGGACCCAAAAAAAGAAAAAAAAAAAAATCAGGGCCTCAAGCTTGGTAGACAAGTGAACTACAGCCCCTGGTCTGACAGAGGTGTGTGTGAGTGTATGTGTGTATCTCCCAATAGAGGACTGTTTGAGCATACATACACATATTTTTTTCCTTTAGCACAGAACAAAGGCTTAGGAAATGCTTACTTCCTGGGACCTGAAAATTTCCCCAGGGTTCATAACCAGTTTTTCTTCTCATTCAACTTAATGACTTTCTTAGCATCTAGATAAGCAGATTCCCACAATAAAGGGAGTACAAGAAGAGTTGCTTTAAATGTCATGCTACCTGCCAGCAAAGCCTAAAGAAAGCATGCAATGGCACAATTACGGAAGGCCTAACCAGGACAAAGTTGTCGAAATGGATGAGGATTCTCACAGGCTTTAACAACGACAGCTCAGTTTCCACCAAGTCCTGAAATTAACCCCTTCTTGCACTGACCAGGGCAGTGCCAGACTGCATACATATCACTCCTTGCACAGTTCTTCCTACCTCCTGTTCCATCTGCCACTGGTTCTCCTTCCTTATTAGTTCATCCTTGGCCTGACTCCAGTCTACTGTTAATTTTTCCACATCTTCTCGAAGGGCTTTGTTCACCACATCAGCTTTTTCCATGTGCAGCCGAAGCTCAGTGTTCACCTCTACTAGACTCTCACACCTGTACCGGGGCGGGGTAAGAACAAATGCAAAACAAAGGTCTGGTCCAATGCTTGTCCCTCTGGGAAATAAGATGATAGTGGAATTTGTCCATTGCTAGAAATTAGAGGGCTAAGGCTGAAATCTATGGTTCTAATCCATGATAGCATTCAGAAGAAAGGTTTCCCATTGACCTTTTCCACCCTCTGGCCAAGTACCCAAGTCATAAAATTTGGGGTCCATCACCTCTGTTGCTCCTCTTCCAGGCGGATTAGCAGCTGTTCTAGGTTTGGCTCCTCCATGCATTCCCACTGCCGAGGGATTGGTCCCTTAGCCAGAGAGAGACATACCTTATGAATCTTTACAATTAAAACTAAGGCCAATTCCCTAATGCCTTTTTTTTTTTTTTGCTGGTCCTAGGGCTTGAACTGAAGGCCTAGACACTGTCCTTGAGCATCTTTTTGTTCAAGACTAGTGCTCTACCACTTAAGCCACAGCACCACTTCTAGCTTTTTCTGAATGGTTTATTGGAGATGAGTCTCATGGACTTTCCTGCCCAAGCTGGCTTCAAACTGCTCAGCCACCTCAGTAGCTACGATTATAGCCATGAGCCACAAGTGCCCAGCTTCCCTGATGCTGTCTACAGCAGCCCATTTTTGAAATTTTCTTCACATTGTCAACAATCTGCTTCTTTTCTCAACCACTGTGTCCTGGAAACAAATCCACTGTATTCCTCTCTCCAAAAGGGAAACAATAACCTCTCCTAAAAGATGGCCTAAGAAGCATAAGATCTCTTTCGCCAATGTCTTGACTTCTTTTTTTTTTTTGGTCACTTGTGGGGCTTGAACTCTGGGCCTGGACTCTGTCCCTCAGCTCTTCAGCTCAAGGCTAACTCTACCACTTGAGCCACAGTGCCACTTCTGGTTTTTTGGTGGTTTATTGGTGATAAGAGTCTCACAGACTTTCCTGCCCAGGCTAACTTTGAACTGTATCCTCAGATCTCAGCCTCTTGAATAGCTAGGATTACAGGCATGAGGCACCGGCGCCTGGCTGTCTTGACTTCTATTACACTAATTTTGGACCTTGGGAAATCACTTATCATCTTTGTGCTACAGTGTCTTCAACTACAAAATGAAAGTGATATCATTTTCCTCAGAAAGTTGAAGAGTGACATAATTATATGATAAAGCTTAAAGGTGACTGGCCTATACAGAGTGGGTTCAAGGTTTTAGTACCCTTCCTTTGAGAACTTTCTTGAGAAGAATGTGAGAAAGTGTCATAGAGAGTTGGAACAAAGGCACATGGGTCTTTAAAGGCCAGTCCTACCCAACCTATATGACAAATGTATCAACAGAGATATGCTTTTGAATGCCTGCAGAGGCCTCTGACAAATAAACACTGACACCTAGTGGAAGAAAGATGTGGTCCCTTATATTTATTGCACCCTCCCATTAACTGCACCTATTAAATCCCCTGACGTATTAGTCCTTAGAGAACAGAGGAATTGGAATCTCTCAGGTTAATAACTAAGAAGATCCTAAGAAGATCAGATATCTCTAGGGCTAAAGATGGGAGAGACTTCTATTAAACACATACTGACAGCTCAAGGGAGCATGGGACTCAACCTCACTTACTCCAGTGGCTTCTAGCTGCCTCTCCAGCTCTTGGCACCAGCTCCGGTACTGCAATACCTGAGGCAAAAACAACAGGCTCTGAGTTATTACAAACAGCCCAAAGCAAAGGCCTCCGGAGATCTTGAGCAAATCTGCTGTGAATAGAGAAAGCAGGTTGTGATGGTGAGGTAAGATCCCGACATCCTATAATTGCTTTTGAGTGCTGAAAGGATCTAGGTCAGGGCTTGGAATGTGGCTTAGTGGTAGAGTGCTTACCTAGTATGTATGAAGTCCTGGGTTTGATTCCTCAATGCCACATAAACAGAAAAAGCAAGAAGTGGTGCTGTGGCTCAAGTGGTAGAGCACTAGCCTTGAGCAAAAGAAGCTCAGGGACAGCGCCCAGGCCCTGTGTTGAAGCACCAAGACTGGCAAAAAAAGAAATTAGGCCTGATATAGTGGTATGTCCCCAAAATTCTAGCACATGGGTGACTAAGGAAGGATAGCCTATCCTGGCCTATGTAGTAAGACCCTGTCTCAAAATACAAGCAAGCAGAAAAAAAATAAACCCCAAATTTTCTCTCTGCCTCTGATATTGAAGAGGCAAAACCAAGGTGAGATCTTAGCTCTAAAATAGAACAAACCTGAAGAAACTAATCTGTGTGTACATCATCTACAGAAAAGACATATTTTTTTTTTTTTTTTTTGGGTCCGGTCCTAGGGCCTGAACTCTGGGCCTGGGCGCTGTCCCTCAGCTCTTCAGCTCAAGGCTAGCGCTCTACCACTTGAGCCACAGCGCCACTTCCAGCTTTTTTCTTTTTTTGCTTATGTGGTGCTGAGGAATCGAACCCAGGGCCTCAGGCATGCAAGGCAAGCACTCTACCACTGAGCCACCTTCCCAGCCCAGAAAGGACATATTTTTAACTCATAGAATATTTGTGAACATCAAAGGAGAAGCCACGGGTGACATCTGGGATGTCAAGGTACTCTCCTAACCTGGCTAGGTATGAGCCGTTTTCCCCTACAGCTCTGCGTCTTCCAGTCCTTATCCCACCCCAGTGCCCAGCTCTGATAGGTGCTCTCTTTCCCTCCCCAGAAGTGTAACTCCCTTACCTTGGCCTGTAGCTTCCTCACGAGGGTTGCTTGCCTCTGCTGGGCCTCCTGGGAGTTCTTCAGCTTCCTCCAGGAGGTAGCCTGGTTCTCTGCCATCTGCTGCTGCAGTGCCAGCACTTGCTCCTCCAGCATCAGCTGCAGTGACTGGGGCTTCATATTCAGCCCAGGGCTGCCTGTCTCCATAGGGACAGCAGAGAGCAAGCTAGCAGGTCTTTATGCAGCCAGAGGCTTTATGCTCCCAGCAGTGTCTCTAACCATTGCTGTGCCTCTTTGACTTCCTCTTGAGCTGGGGACCAAAGCAGATAAAAGAATTGGAAGGATTGACTAGATGACACAAATATACACAGCAAACATTTTTTAAACCTGGTAAATCTGAGTTGGACAAAGTAAATAGATTCCTTTACAAGAAGACTCATTAGAACCTTTACAACCCTAAGGTGGACACTAATCTCTAAGAGAGGGCTGTGATGAGCATCGTATTTCCCAAATTTAATGTACCAGGAAAAAGTTCCCAAGGCTATTGTACTAGACTAGAAGCCCCTGGTTTGCTGTTGCATCCCTGGCATCTGGCACAGTGACTAACAGGCATTTACTGAAGTGAAGGTGGTATTAAGCCTGGCAGGCGAGACAGAAAAATAAACAATTACAACACAATGTGGCATGTGTAATCATACAGACATCACAGGACAGCATGGAAAACAAAGGAAGGGCACATCTTCCAGCTTGGGGAGCTATAAGCTATATGGCTCATCACCACCATAGTTCATACTTGATGGTTCTGTGGGGCAGTGGCTTTGCCCAGTGTATTACATGCTTTTGTCTTCACAAGAATTTTGAAACCTTCCAATGCCCTCTGATCATGTCATTGTACATACTATTGCAATGGAATCAATGGAGGTTTATCAATTCAGATAGCTGGCATTTGGTAGATGAACGATTTGAACACAAGTAATCTGGCTCCTAACAAAGAAAAGGGGAGAGTGGCATTTCAGGCAAGGGATTCAGAAAAGAGAAGGAAGGAAGCAATTGTAGCAAGATGGCAACTACTTCTCATCTGTCAGGAACTGGGCCCAAACAGAGCAACTTGCCACCAAGAGGTAGTAGAGGCCAGCCTGTGACCTTCAGATACCCATTAGTTCCCTAATGGTAGCAGAAAAAAGTTCTGGGTGCTGGTCCAAGCTCTGCTTTTAATAGGCATGCTACTGCCCTTTTAGTCTCCTCATTCAAAAATCAGAGCTTTATGGCTATATGACCTACAAATTTCCCTATAAGATAGGTAATAGAGATAGGAAAGCTCTTTCATGTTATTAACCTTAAGGTGCTCACCAAGAGGGTTAAGGACTATCTTTACTTCCAACTACTCGTTAAGAAAACAGGGCCGGCCATGTGATGCACACCTGTATTCCCAGTACTGGAGAGGCAAAGGTAAGAGAACATTGGTTTCATGCCAGACCTGGCAAAAGTTAGCAATCCTCTGTTATCAGGTAGTGCACATCTGTTGTCACAGCTATTTGAGAAGAAAGGAGAATCATAGTTTGAGATGAGCCTGGGAAAAGTTAATGATCCTATCTGAAATGAAAACTCAAAAACAAAAGGACTGGGGAGTGTAGCTGAAATGGTAGAGCATCTGTCTAGCAGTGTGACATCTTAAGTTCAATCCCCCAGTACTCGCTCACCCCTCCTCACCCCAGCCCAAAAAAGAAATTATTTCTGGTCCTTTGGAAAATGAGAATTATCTACTTACTGACCCTTATTCGATATGCCTGCCACAAGGCAAGGTGCTGAGCTGCAGTTAAACAATGCCTGTCCCCATCAGACAGGGGAGTACTCTCTAGTTCATTCTAGCTTCCTCCCATTATACTTAGAGCAGATTTCATCAGTGCACTGCATAACTGTTTTCCTTATAATAGAGTCATAGAGAAAAACTCAATTTGGTAATTTACAATAGCTTCTGGGCAACTGAATGTACTTGAGTTCTCAAAAACAGTCCTGGGCTGTAACAAAGTAGGAAGAGTACAGGGGAAACAGTGAAACAAGTTTGGGCAGAAAAGTTCCTGAGACTCTTATCTCCAATTAACCACCAAAAAGCTGGAAGTGGAGCTGTGGCTTAAGTAGTAGAACACCAGCCTTGAGTGAAAAGCTATAGCCCAGAGCCCTGGTCCCATGTTCAAGTCCCAGGACTGTCAGAAAACAACTCAGTTTCTTTTCTGCTCATGGCTGGTGTTCTACCACTTGGTAGTGGGCTGGAATAAAGTGGAATGAAAAAAAAAGTCACAAAGGTACCAGGACTCTCTGCTTGCTCATCTCTCTCCCTCTTTCTGATCACTTTCTCTGAGGGAAGCCACATGCTCTGCCCCATAAAGAAACCCGAGGGTGAAGAACTGGGAACTCTGCCAACAGCCCTGTGAGTGAGCCATCTTGAAAGCAGATCTTCCAGGCCCAGCTGGTCACTGAAGTCACACACACACACACACACACACACACACACACACACACACACACACACACACACACACACACACACACACACACACACACACACACGTCCACATACGTCCACACACCAGCCAGTCTGCAGAATCCTAAGCCACAAACACACAGCTAATGGGTTCCTGGACTTCTGATCCACAACAAGTGTGTAAGATAATACATGACTTTTGTTTTAACTACTAAATTTTGGGATAATTTCTTGCACAGCACAAAAAACTAGTATATTTGAATTACTGCAAAAGCTTCCTGGATAGAAGTGATGCCTCCTAATTTTATTTTTCAAGATGGTAGTCAGAGGGTCTTTTTAAACTGTAAAACAGAGCTGGGTGCCAGTGGCTCAAGCCTGTAATCGTAGCTACTCAGGAGGCTGAGATCTGAGGATTGCAGTTTGAAGTAAGGCTGGGCAGAAAAGTCCCCCATGAGACTCTTATCTACAATAAACTACTCAAAAAAGCCAGAAGTGGTGCTTTGACTCAAGTGGTAGAGCACTAGCCTAGAGAAAAAGAGTACAGGGGCAGACAGCCCCAAGACCCCAAGTTCAAGCCTTAGGACTGACAAAAAAATAAATAAAAATAAAATGTGAAACAGGCTGGGCACTGGTGGCTCACATCTGTAATCCTAGCTACTCAAGAGGCTGAGATCTGAGGATCACAGTTTGAAACCAGCCAAGGCAGGAAAGTTTATGAGACTCTTATTTCCATTTAACCACCAGAAAACCAGAAGTGGTGCTGTAGCTCAACGTGGTAAAGTGCTAGCCTTGAGCTAAAGAGCTCAAGGAAATAAATGCCCAGGCTCTGAATTCAAGCTCCACAACCACCAACAACAACAAAAGCAAAACAGGTAATGCCACTCAGAACCTTCTAACTAAAATCTTTATAATGACCTCTATACAATCCAAATTATTTGACCCCAGCCCCAAATGACTTAATTCCACTTCCTACCCCTCCGGCACTCAGCCCTCCTAGCTCTATGTGCTTAGCACACAGGATACCCCATATCCCACACACATTACAGGGCCTTGCCCACCTCCTCCCTACTTATCCTCACAATTTACTCCCTCTATGCCTTCACATCTGTTCAGGTGTCACTTCTTCCCTAATCACTCATCTGAAATACCACTAATCCTCTATACACATTGATACTTCTACTCATCTTACCACACTTTATCCTTAGCTACGTGTAATAAGAAGATAAATCCCACTAGTATAAAAACATTGTTCTACTTAGCGCTGTGTTCTCAGCTCCCAAAACAATCCCTGGCATTTAAGAGGTGCCCACTATTTGACTGATGTAAGGCCCTAAGGCAACATGATCCATATTATCATACACAGCCTTGCAAAACACTGACAGTTCTATAAGCATTCAAATAGCAGAAAGAAGCCAGGTGCCCAGTGGCTCATACCTGTAATCCTAGCTCCTCAGGAGGCTGAGATCTGAGGATCAAGATTGGAAGCCAGCCCAAGCAGGAAAGTCTGTGAGACTCTTATCTCCAATTAACTACCAAAAAAGAAACAACAACAAAAAAAAGCTGGAAGTGGAGTTGTGGCTTAGTTGGTAGAATGATAGCCTTGAGCACAAAAGATCAGGGGCAGTGCCCAGGCTCTGAGTTCAAGCTCTGGGACCCACACACATATACACACACACACACAAAAAAAAAACACAAGAGAGGAGATCATGTGTAATCTGTATAGCACTTTATCCAAATAATCATTTGCAATCTTCATTAAAAAAAAATAATACCTTAGGGGTTGAGAATGTGGCTAAGTGGCAGAGTGTTTGTCTGATGTGCAAGAAGCCCTAGATAGGATTCCTCAGTACCACATAAACAGGAAAAAGCTGGAGGTGATGCTGTGGCTCAAGTGGTAGAGCTCTAACCTTGAGCAAAAGCAGCTCAGGAACAGTGCCCAGACCTTGAGTTCAAGCCCCAGGATTGGCAAAACAAAACAACCTTAAGAGATTATTATTCTTTTTTTTTTTCTTCCAGTTGTGGGGCCTGAACTCTGGGCCTGGGCGCTGTCCCTCAGCTCTTCAGCTCAAGGCTAGCACTCTACCACTGGAGTTACAGCGCCACTTCCGGCTTTTTCTGCTTAAATGGAGCTGAGGAATCGAACCCAGGGCCTCAGGCATGCAAGGCAAGCGCTCTACCACTGAGCCACCTTCTCAGCCCAAGAGATTAATATTCTCATATTCAAAAAGACTGATTCAAAAAAAAAAAATGGATGCTGGGCGCTGGTGGCTCACGCCTGTAATCCTAGCTACTCAGGAGGCTGAGATCTGAGGATCTCGGTTCAAAGCCAGCCCGGGCAGGAGAGACTGTGAGACTCCTATCTCCAATAAACCACCAGAAAACTGGAAGTGGCGCTGTAGCTCAAGTGGTAGAGCGCTCGCCTTGAGCTGAAGAGCTGAGGGACAGCGCCCAGGCCCAGAGTTCAAGCCCCACGGCTGACCAAAAAAAAAAAAAAAAAAATGGAAGGGGTAAAAAGATCAGTGGATTACAATCTGATTACAAATTCTATACCTTTAATGTTAACTGAGTCCAAACTAACAAATTATATAATATCAGAGCTCTGAGAGGCAATTCTTATTTTTTTAAATCAATAAAAATTTAATTTTTTTGATATTTCACATGTCTAATTGTGGAAGAGCTATTAACAAATTTCAGCATCAACTGCCAACTCTGTATTCATGTTTAACAATAAATAAATAAATAAATAAAAGGCTTCTAGGCCTTTTTAATACAGGCCAAGTATCCTCTGGCAAAACAAATGGTATTGGTGCGGGAAGATTTGAGGGTGCAATATGAAAGGAATTAAGATGTTTTATTGCAACTGATGTTCAGTTGGCAAATAACAGAATACAAACATACACTAAATGGCCATCATGGTTTTCAACAATCTGTAAAAATAACTCTGAAGGCTGAAACTAGTAAGACAGTATACCCAAAAGTGGTGTTATTGATAAGATTTGATCCTAATTTTCTAAGGTGCAGTGGGACATAAGGAAGAGATGGGGAGGGCTGGCAGTATATACTGTTTGAGTTGGGACAGTGGCTCACATCAGTTCATATCCAGATCAGGATACAACATCCTAAACTGTGGCTATTAAGGACCAATAACTTCATCAGCCATTTACTAAGTGCCAAGAGTGGTCTATAGGAATACACCGGGATTAGGTGGGAGAGGATGAGACAAAAGCAGGAAAATGAAGAGGGGGAAATATATGTGAATACTGTTGGAAGCTGCTTTGGTAACCACTCGGAGTTCTTTCTATAGACTACCATCACCAGACAATAGTTTTAAAGCCCAATTTGAAAAGATAATACAGTTCAGTTTTGATAAGACTATTTCCAAGAATACAAGTCTGACTGAGTAAAAATATCAATAAATATTCGGAGGTATATTTGTGTTACAGCAAGTAAAAACAACAATTAATTAGAACTGTTGAATTAACACACAAAGACCTTAATGAAGAATGCCTTGAATAGTCTTAAAACATATTTAGGTCAGCAGCCCAGGATAACTAAATAATTTATAGACTACAAACATGTTCCTTCCAATTCACCAAAAATGGTTATATTCCAACTTTCCAAGAACTATTTTTTTTTTCAAATCCACACTATCAAAAGTAGAAGCTAGGGGGTGGGAAGGTGGCTCAGTGGTAGAGTGCTTGCCTTGCATGCATGAGGCCCTGGGTTTGATTCCTCAGCACCACATAAGCAGAAAAGGCTGGAAGTGGCACTGTGGCTCAAGTGGTAGAGCGCTAGTCTCAAGCTCAAGAGTTGAGGGACAGCGCCCAGGCCCACCGGAGTTCAGGCCCCAAGACTGACAAAAAAAAAGTCGAAGCCGGGTGCCGGTGGCCCACGCCTGTAATCCTAGTTACTCAGGAGGCTGAGATCTGAGGATCGAGATTCAAAGCCAGCCCTGGCAGGAAAGACCATGAGACTCCTATCTCCAATAAACCACTAGAAAACCAGAAGTGGCACTGTGGCTCAAGTGGTAGAGAGCTGGCCTTGAGGGACAGTGCCCAGGCCCAGAGTTCAAGCCCCACGACCGGCAAAAAAAAAAAAAGTAGAAGTTACATGAACCAAGTAATTTCAGACTTAAGCCAGTTTTCATAAGTATTTGTTACCTCAGTGTTCTCTAACATCAGTCCATAGCAAACAGGATGATTCTAACCATGAGCCATTTCTCAAACCACAACTCTAAAGAGAAATGGATGATGCTCATCTTATCAAAATGATGCTCTAAGAGCTAAGAATGTCATTAAACTCAGCACTGAAGTACATCAACAACCAAATACACCAAACTGGAAACTCCCATCTCCAGCACCAATAATGGAAGCTAAACAATTATACTTTAAAATCCTTCACAAGCCGGGCGCTGGTGGCTCACGCCTGTAATCCTAGCTACTCAGGAGGCTGAGATCTGAGGATCGCGGTTCAAAGCTAGCCCGGGCAGGAGAGACCATGAGACTCCTATCTCCAATAAACCACCAGAAAACCGGAAGTGGCGCTGTAGCTCAAGTGGTAGAGCGCTCGCCTTGAGCTGAAGAGCTGAGGGACAGCGCCCAGGCCCAGAGTTCAAGCCCCACAACCGACAAAAAAAAAAATCCTTCACAGGTCTTTCTTAATGGAAAATCCTGAGCGTTTTTTGGAACACTTTGACTTTATAGAAGGCAGGCTGGCTTAATGAGAAAACTTACTTTTACTAGAGACAACCAACAGTCTTTGATTTGGGGCACTTATTCTTTTCATAGACCCTTAGCCGGCTTTGAGGTGGGTTATTTAGCACTGCATTTTACAAATTAAAACTCAAGTAGATGTCAAGTCATTTGTCATAAACTATAGGAGTCCTCTTATGGTCAGAAACAACATTATTTCTCTGATCTTTCAGATACATTTATTGTCTGATGCGAGAAGCAATTCTAACATGGTGAAATAATGACACCCATACTTGCAGCTTTCTGAAGACAGAGGAAGGCAGGATGTTACTGAAGGAGCACAGAACAAGCCCCTTCTTGCCTTAGGTTTGTTATGAAGTCACTCATTAATGTGGGTAACATCAGCTCTTTTCTAAACCTTCTAACACAATAAAATGAAAATCATCATCTTCACACATCAATATAACAGCCATTTACTATAACCAAAGGCTAGCTAGTGAATTTATCACCTTGTCCTGTGGACAGGTTCCAGACCCTCCTACTAGTTCCATTAGTTAATCATATTACTTGATCTACAAGTGCCTAGGTTTCTTCAAATGCAAAATAGGAAGACACAGAATCCACCAAAATAGATCATATAACAATTTGATGGACCTATGCACGCATTTAGTAACATCTGGCATTCTGTGACTATTCAGTTAATGTTAACTATTATTACTATCATCATGCGCTAGACCCTGGGTTAAAAAAAATGAAAAAAGCAAAGCATAAGTCTGAGCAAAGACAGTTCAGGGCGTGAAAGAGGGGCAGGAAAAGTGACTGTGCGATGGACAGAAGCTGAGAGAGAGGTTAATTGCGCCTGGAGGTTCCCAAGGAGTGACACTTGAGTCCTGAATCATGGGTCCAGTACTGAGAAGGGGTAAACTCTGGTAATTCTAGCTCTCGGGAGGCTAAGGCCGGATGATTGCGAGTTAGTTCCAGGACAGCCTTGGCTACACGGCAAAAGCGAGGGGAGGGGAGAGGAAGGAAACGGAAAGGAAGAAAAGAAAAAAGCTAGGCGTAGCGGTGCTCACCTTTAATCTCAACTATTCAGGTGCAGTGGTTAGGAGGTAGTTGGGAGGATCCCGGTGAGAGGCCCGCCCAGTGGGGTGAGGGGGGTGGAGGGAAGCGGGAGACATTATGAGTTCAAACACCAGAGGGACAGACAGACTTTCGCACAGATCCGGGGCAGAGGGGTACAGACAAGGGGAGCTGCAAGGCTCTAGGGGCTCGGGGACGGGGGGTGGGGGGAGAAGAGGGCGGGAGAAGCGGCCCCGCGGCCCCACAGCCGGGGCTGCTCGGCTGCGAAGCCCAAGCGTGAGGTCCTCGTTCTGCGCCCACTGGAGCCCAGAGCGGCGGCCGTGCACCGGCGGGGCCCTGGGGGGGTCTTGGGGATCTTGGGGGCTCTAGGACCGGTTCCAGATCCACACAGGGCCTCAGAGCCCGCCCGGGACCCAACGCGAGGCCGTGGCCCAGGCGGGCGGCCCCAGGCCGTTACCGAGCACCCCCCGCCTGCCCCGGTCCCACCTCACCACGACCGGCGCCCGCGGATTCCGGGAACGCTCCGCCGCCAAAGAGCGGCGGCAGCCACGGCGAGGCCCCGCCGGGGGCGGGGGGCTGGGGGTCCCGCGCTCAGGCCCCGCCCCCCAAACTCCCGCCCGGAGCCTTCGGGACAGGGAGGGGAGGGGCTCGCCCCGCCGGATGACGCATGACGCTAAAGCACGGCCTCCCGCCATGTTGGGTACTGGCAGGAGACTCCCTGGAAAGGCTCAGAAGGAAAGAGGGGATTAGATTTAAGACCTAAGATTCCTCGCCCGACGTAGAGACAGCCCGAGTCTCTGGATTCCAGGAAATGGACGACCTGAGAAGAGGGAAAGCCTGGATCTCACGCATGCCTTTTGGCTTCAGAGTTATTTACTGCTCATGCCTAAATCCGATTGCGCTCCAGATGCGCCTGCGCAGTACTGCGCGCAGGAACCTCAGTGCCATTACTAGGAGGGCGTCCGCCGCGCCTGGTTCCCGCAACTAGATTTCCCCGGGGCGACCAATTCCAGGATTTACTCACTTTCTGACCCTGATGTCGTTAATCCGCGTCAAGCAACACAGCACATAGCATTTAATTCGAGTCGTTTGGAACACCAGAGATTGGTTCCTAGTCTCAATGGCCTAAATGTGACTTTCACAGAATTTCGTTCTGTACTTTCTTTGAATTGAACCTCCCATCAACCTCCATCTTCCACTCAGTGGCTCTCAATTTTTAGTATAGGGTGAACCTGAGAATGCAACACTTTTTTTCCCGCTGTGTACAAAGGTTTGAATTCAGAACCTTGTGCTTGGTAGGAAGCCTTTCGAATGTTTGAATAATATGTACAGCATTTTTGGCTTTATTTTTTAAAGATAAGGTATCTCTTTTTGTTGTTATTGTTGCTCAGGCCAGCCTTAATCGTGATTCTCCTATTTAAACTTCTTATGCATAGCTAAAATGTAGCGGTGTGTACACCACACCTAGCTATTGATTAAAGATGGGGCTTTTAATAACTTTTTGCTCTAGCTGGCTTGGAACCAAGATCTTTCAGATGTCTATTTCCCAAGTAGCTAGGTTTGCAGGTATGAGCCATCATCACCTGGCTGGCACTTTGTTAAGAGTTAGGTTGTATGTTTCTCAGATAAAAACTTCTTAAAAGCAAACATGGGAATTGTCTGTGCAAGAGTGCGTACGATTGTCTCTCATTGTCTAGGGACAGAGTGTACATCAGGCTCCCCAAATCCTGTAGTGTTCTAGGATCATTTGGAATAATAGAGTATTCATAATTTGGAACTCAAGAACACTATGGGAAAAGATTAAACAAAACACAAACACATCCCTGGCTATGCTCATATCTGTCTGATGAACGAGACTGGGGAGAAGGCCTCAAAGGAAGCTGGGATGGAGAGGGATATTATATCATTTGAAAGGTAACCATCCTTGGTCCCCAAGTAAACTGGGCTTCTTCCTTTACATCTAAATTCTATCACTGAGAATGTACCTTATATCCTAATTATCAATAGGAGCCTGTACTCCAGCCTTGTTCATTGTTTTACATTCTTCCTGCCCTATGACAAGAGGCATCCTGAACTGATGCATAGGGTTTTTTGTTCCTTAATTATCTGTGTGAAATTTCAAAGTATGATGCTATATTAACACACTACTCCCCACAAGTCTAAAATCTGCTTGAAAACTCTTTAACTCTTTATCCATTGCAAGAATACGAAGTACTTTGCAGGCAGAGTTGTGCATACCTGTAATCTCAGGTTGAATTATTATAGTTTCTGCCTGGGAAAATGCAGCAAAAAGAGACAACATAAGTTGTGGTGGCAGACCCAGAACAGTGCTGCTGTGTTGGGTTGGCCTGAGCAATACTTTCTGTAGGCTGACTGCAGGCTAAGAGCCTATAAGAGTGCACCCTAGGTCTTGTTTAGTAGTGTGTCTCGGAAGGGTAAATGAATCCTAGACATAAGAAGTTCATCAACTGACCACTGATGATAAAGATGCCTTTTGCAAAGGGAACTACAGAAGAAGCATCCAGCAGGGAAGCCCTGAAGAGCCAATAAAAGCATCCTATAATGCTTTGATGATGATCAGAGACAGATGACAATAGACATCTGTGAGGCCCAGACAGTACTGAGCCAGCTATCATGCTAGGTTTTTCCCATTCCTTTCCTTAATTCTTCTGTCCATGTCAGCACCTTGAGTGACTGAAGGGAGCTGAGGAAGACATAAGCGGACAACAGAGGAAACTCCCCACCACTATCATGTCCCTCTAGCTGCAAGCTGATAATTGAAGTATTGCCAGTTCATAAAACGAAAACAGCTTGTTGCTGCCTGTCCACATGAGTCCATTGCTTTACCAGTAAATAAACACTGAGCACTTGTTATGTGCTGGAAGGGACGCAAAAAAACAATAACCCAGAGACCCTGTCCGTTCTCAGAGGCTTAGTTCACAGACTCACAAGGGAGGCAAGTGACACACATTCAGCATGGTAAATTCTGTAAAGAGGCTGGCTCCACAAGACAGAAATGTTATGGTCTCATTGTGAAGGAGAAAAAGGCTAAAAAGCCAGGCAATTGTGGCTCATGCCATCTCAGAAGGCTGAGATCTAGAGAATCAACCTTCAATGCCAGCCCAAGTAAAAGAGTCTGTGAGGCTCTATATCCAAAAATAACTAGGCAAAAGCTAGCCTGAAGATGTGACTCAAGTACTAGAGTGACAGCTGAGCAAGCACTAGGCCCTGAGTTCAAACTCCAATGTCACAAACACACACACAAAAATGCTGAGCAGACAAAGAGGATGGCATTCCAAGAAGAATGTGTGCATAGGCCCAGTGGTATGCAAGATCATGGAACATGGGGAAGGCTGGAAATTTCCTCCGGGACTCCCTTCTTGACTGATTCTGACAGTTGGTTGGATTCCGTGACTCTCTTTGGATTGGGCATTTCAACAATAATCTGATCTTCTCTGTCATCTGAGTATTTTCTTCCTGCTCCTGACCCTCAGGAGCTCTTGCCTCAGTGGTCAAGGGTCATTGCAATTTCAACCCCTTCCCACAGACCTAGTCAGGCTCTCAGTGACCAGCCTGCTTAAGTTTGACTTTTCTTTTCTTTTTTGTGCCAGTACTGGGGCTTGAACTTGGGGCCTAGGCACTGTCTGTCCCTGAGCTTCTTTTGCTCAAGGCTAGCACTCTACACTTGAGCCACAGTGCTGCTTCTGGTTTTTTTTTCTGTTTATGTGGTATTAAGGAATCGAACCCAGGGTTTTGTGCATGCTAGGCAAGCACTCTACCACTGTGCTACATTCCTAGCCCAGTTTGACATTTCTTAATGGAACTCTAGTATTCTTTTTTTTTTTTCACCAGTCCTGGGGCTTGAACTCAGGGCCTGGGCACTGTCCGTCCCTGAGCTTCTTTTGCTCAAGGCTAGAACTCTACCACTTGAGCCACAGCACCACTTCTGGCTTTTTCTGAGTATGGGTACTGAGGAATCGAACCCAGGACTTCATGCATACTAGACAAGCACTCTTTTGCTAAGCCACATTCCCAGCCCAGGGGCTGGTATTCATGTCACCACTGTTCAGAGTTTGGTCACTAAGGGATGTGTGCCACCATACTTGTTTGGTTTAACTCTGTCTTCAAATGTATTCTGTATAAATATCATACTTCAATCAAAACTTTTCAATTATATTACTATACTGCCTGGGAAACTATCCAGGAGGCTGATACAAATGGCTGCTTCTCGAGTGAGTTGGAAGACCTCTGTCTGGGTGGAAGAGAAACTTTTCCTTGTGCATTCCTTTTTATTTATTTTTAGCTTTAATTTTGGTTCTGAGGCTGGAACCCAGATGGAGTCTTGTACATGCTAAGCATGTGGGCTATTACCTACTCTTTCAACCCTTCTTGAACATTCTTTGTACTGTGGGAATTGTCTTCATTGTGAATTCGTATTATTTTTCTTTCTAAGGCATGTTTCTTTGTTTTCTTTTTTCTTTTTGTTGGTCGTGGGCTTGAACTCTGGGCCTGGGTGCTGTCCCTTAGCTCTTCGGCTCAAGGCTAGTGCTCTACCACTTGAGCCACAGTGCCACTTCCAGTTTTCTGAGTGGTTTATTGGAGATAATTCTCAACCGACTTTCTTGCCTGGGCTGGCTTTGAACTGCAACCCTCAAATCTCAGCCTCCTGAGTAGCTAGGATTACAGGTATGAGCCACCAGTGCCCAGCACCATATTCCTTTTTTTTTTTTTTTTAACATATTTTTATTGTTTCTACTAAGGTGTTGTACAAAGGGGTTACTATTTCATAATTCAGGTAATGCATATATTTCTCTTTTGGACAATGTCACCCCTTCCTTTACTTTCCCTCAGTTTCTCCCTCCCGTCCTTACCCACAAGTTGCATTGCATAGTTCATTTCCACATAGTGTATCCTAAATACCTAATGTGTGTTACTTTTTTTCTTCTTCTGTCAGTTGTGGGTCTTGAACTCTGGTCCTGGGCGCTGTCCCTGAGTTCTCCAGCTCAAGGCAAGCACTCTACCACTTT